GGGAGTCTGCTTCTTCCTCTGACCCTAACCCCTCTCATGTGCTCTCTCTCATTCTCTCTCTCAAATAAATAAATAAAATCTTAAAAAAAAAAATGTATCTGTTTTCTCCCCCAAGAATTTTTGGTTTGTTAACCCCAACTGGGAAAAATATTGTAAAATTCTGTTTTGCATTGATAAGTAAAATATGTATATTCATATGCTTGCTCTCTGTTCTCACTGAGTAATTTTTAAAGCATGCATAAAATATTGTAGTAGAATACCTATAGTATCAGGTGTGGATAATTCCTGTAACTATTAAGAACAAGAAACATAAGAGGTTTTTGTTTTGTTTTCTTTTTTTAAATCCATCCCAGGGGCACTACCATTAACATAAAATAAAAAGAGGGCTCAGTGTGATTGTCCTAATTAATTTTTGGTCTAGAGTTGAGCTGTCTATGTGGCTATGAAGTGCTTGAAATATGGCTAATCTGTATAGAGAAATGTTATATGTATAAAATACACTAAATTTCAAAGACTGAGTATGAAGAATAAAGTATCTCAATTTTTTACTACATATTTAAATGGTATCTTGGATATGATGGGTTAAAGAAAATGTTGTTAAAGGTAATTTTATGTTTCTTTTTTTAAAGATTTTTAAAATTTGTCTATTTGATAGAGAGAGAGAGAGAGAGAGAGAGAGAGGAAACACAGCAGGGGGAGTGGGAGAGGGAGAAGCAGGCTTCCCGCTGAGCAAGGAGCCCGACCCGGGACTCGATCCCTGGATGCTGAGATCACGACCTGAGCCGAAGGCAGACACTTAACCGACTGACCCAGGCACCCCTTATCCATTTCTTCTTCCCTTTTAAATGGGGCCAACAAAAACCAGAATTTAACATCCGTGGCTTTGCATTGTATTTCTATTGGACACTGCTGATCTAGTAGCAATGATCCTTAACTGCAGGTGCTCATCACAATTTTCAAAGAGTGGTCTCCTGGAGTTTGGTTTAAAATAAATTAGAATCTTGGGGCACCCGGGTGGCTCAGTTGGTTGGGCGACTGCCTTTGGCTCAGGTCATGATCCTGAAGTCCCGGGATTGAGTCCCGCATCGGGCTCCCTGCTTGGCAGGGAGTCTGCTTCTCCCTCTGACCATCCCTCTTCTCACGCTCTCTCTATCTCATTCTCTCTCTCAAATAAATAAATAAAATCTTAAAAAAAAAAAAATTAGAATCTTGGTAGTCAGTATTTTAAAAATATTTCCAAAATAATTCTGAGAATCATTAGTCTAGAGGTTAGTGGACATAATTGTGTCCTTGAGTCTTAGGAGATTGGGAGTGGAATAGACACTGATAGATCATCTCCTGTAACTTACTTCTGTAGAATAAAAACCAGTATGCGCATTGCCTGCTTGTTCAAAACAATAATAGGAAAGAACAATAGTACCAGAGGTGGGGAAAAAAGTTGGAACTTGCCTCAAAACTAGTTAAAATTAAGAGACCCTTGGGCACCTGTGTGGCTCAGTTGGTTGAGTGTCCTACTCTTGGTTTCGGCTGGGGTCATGATCTCAGGATTGTGGGATCAAGCCCCACGTCAGGCTCTGTGCTGAGCACAGAGTCTGCTTGAGATCCTCTCTCCTTCTGCCCCTCCCCCAGCTTGTGGGCACTCTAAAATAAAAATAAATAAAATCTTTAAAATTAAGAGACCCTAGAATTCTTTTATAAGATGAGTTGGCCTATAAAGAATTTGACAGGCCTTTGTCCCTGCTTCCTGGGAGAGAGATTCTAAATTCCTGTAATTTCTCAAAAGAAACAGAAGTATCTTCATTATTCACATGCCTCTTGGATTACACCTCAGTTTATGCTAAGAGATGAGATAACTCAGCAGAGGGTTTTCCACTAGAAAAACCATCCATGTGGTTAGAGGGTAGGGGGCTTTGAGCCAGCTAGACCTCTGGGGAAGGGAGAGGGATTAGAGATTGAGTTTAACGTGATCTGTGATTCGATCAATCATGCCACTGTAATGAAAGCCTGATAAAAACTCTGGACACTGAACTTTAATAGAATTTTGTGCCTGGTGAACATACTGATATGCTATGAGGATGAGTACCTGATTCCAAAGGGAAAGAACAGGAAAGCACCCACCCAGACTTTACTCCAAGGGTCTCTTCGTTTGGCTGGTTCTGATCTGTGTCCTTTATGATAAAACTGTGTTCATAAGTATAGTGCTTTCTGATTTCTGTAAGTTGTTCTAGTGGCTTACTAAACTGGATGGGGTCATGGGAAACCCCAAATTTGTAGCCAGTTGGTCAGGAGTATAGGTGGCTTGGGAACCCCACTTGTGGCCCCATCTGAAGTAGGGACAGTTTTATGAAGGATCGAGCCCTTAACTTGTGTTATCTGATCCAACTCAGGTGGTTAGCGTCAGAATTGAATTGGCAGCACACCAGTTGGTGTCAGAATGAAGTCATAACTTCAAATTGTAACAAAAACATTTGTAAGAAAATATAAAATCTTAAAAAAACTAAATTCAAGTAGCAAATCTATAATTCAGTGAAAAAGCCACACTCTATAATTGGATATATCATTCGGTGATTAAATCTGATAGCATCTTACATTCCTAAGCTAACAAAAGGACTTTAGATCTAAAAAAGCATTAAAGCAATTTTAACATTTTTCTGGTTTTCACAAGGATTATTTTACCTATCCTCCTTCACTTGTCCTCATCTTCACCTTTATATCTACAGTACTAGTACTACTGTTAATACTACTAACAATAATCTAGCAGTTTACAACTTCATATACATACAACCACGGAAGACTGGAGAGAGAAAACAGGATCACAGTTCTGTTCAAGTCTGGTCTTTATCCACAGGGATGTGTATACTTCAGATGCTGCGAGGGACAAGCATCCAAGTTTTGAAGCCATACCAGGAATAACCAAGACTCATATCCTTGAGATGGAAAGGTGAGTAAGATTTCTTAAGAAACAGTTAAGAAGCATTTCTCTCATTTTCCAGTCGACTTTCCTTCACCAAACTGGACACGTAGCCTCAAATAAAAAGTAGGACAGGGAGAGCAATTCAGAAAGACAAGGGGAGCAATGAGGAGGGAAGGAAATCAGAAGCAGCTCTGCAGCATGACTACAAATCACTGCCCACAGGGAAGAGGTAGTAGAAAGCAGGAAGAAAAGGAGAATGTCCTGAGAATTACAAAGAGCATTAAGTATAGCATGTAGTTCTCTACAATTATTCAAGGAATGCAGGAGAAGAAAGACGACGGAGCGCTGAGCCCATGTGTGCCGTGAGTACTCTGCCGCTCGCTGAAGGACAACCATTCGTTTCTAGAAAATGAGATTCTGAAATCCATGGAGGCAAAAATGTACCGAGAGATGCTTGCTAAATCAAGGATATATGCTTTTCTCTGCCAGCCATAAGGTATTTTTGAGGTAGAGATGTGAAAGGATCTTCTGAGACAAAGAAGAGAAGTACTTTTTCTGAAGATGCCTCTGCTCATCTGCTGGCCTCTGCTGGATCAACAGTGGCATCCAGTGGCCAAAAGTCTCAACACAGACTTCTTTGTCTCTAGGAATGGTTTCTATTGCTTTGGGTGAAGTAGCAATTCAGAACAAAACCATTTCTGTTGTCTATAACTAAGGATCCCCGAAGACACAGTACTTTGTAATACGAAGTGAAGAACCAAAGCCCATAAAGAAGAAATGGAGGGGGGCAGCTTATGATTGGCTGTGGTATTTATATTTCCTGTGGTATTACTAAAAAGAATGAAAATACAGGAGGGGATGAACATATATATGTGTGGGTGGGATTCCTCAGTTTTCACTGCCTCAGAATACTTTAAAAATAAATCAGTGTACAAGATAAAGTAGTTTCATCTTAAAACCAAAGCAATACTAAAATAAATTTCTGTATGTACATTTTACTTCTTAAACGGCTTAGGAAAGGAAAAATAATGGAATTAGCATGGCTTAATTATATAGTTTAGTTGAATTTCAGTTTGCTTCTGAACTGTGATTTTTAAAACCTGATTTAAGTTTCAATTAACCTATAACAAATATATAGAAAAGAAAAGCATTCCAGCCAACTTCTTTTCTTTTCTTTTTTTTAGGTAGGCTCCAGCTCAGGGCTTGAATTCATGACCTTGAGATCAAGACCTGAACTGAGATCGAGTCAGATGCTTAGGGGCGCCTGGGTGGCTCAGTCGTTAAGCGTCTGCCTTCGGCTCAGGTCATGATGCTAGGGTCCCAGGATCGAGCCCTGCATCAGGCTCCCTGCTCAGCAGAAAGCCCGCTTCTCCCTCTCCCACGCCCCCTGCTTATGTTCCCTCTCTCGATGTCTCCCTCTGTCAAATAAATAAATAAAATCTTAAAAAAAAAAAAAAGTCAGATGCTTAACTAACCAAGCCACCCAGGCACCCCCACCCAAGATATTTTCATGTTCCAACTGTTTGACTTAAACTGCTAAAAAAAGTGATTTTTCTAGCAAAGTTCCAGCAAATAAAATGCCAGTAAATTCTGACCTGAAAAAAGAAAAGAACTATGTTTTCCTCAATGACATAATACAAGGAAACATGAATGATGGAGTAATCCTCAAATTTTTATTTTTTATTTTTTTTAAGATTTTATTTATTTGAGAGAGACATAGAGCACACAATGCACGAGCACAAGTGGTGGGGAGGGGCAGAGGGAGAAGCAGACTCCCTGCTGAGCAGGGAGCCTAAGGTGGGGCTCGATCCCAGGACCCTGAGGTCATGACCTGAGCCAAAGGCAGCTGCTCAACCAACTGAGCCACCCAGGCAACCCTCAAATTTTTATCTTAAGTAGACTCAAAGATTAAAAAAAAAAAAGTAGGTACCAAGAGGCTCTTCTCTCATGATTTAAATGTGTTCATTTTCTGCTCTATGTTTCTAGCCAAAACCAAAAATGCATGGAATTGTCACATACATTACTCCTCTTAACTCTCCTGATACATCTCTGGCTGGCTCAGAAGCATGTCCCAGTTCAAACTCACCTGTTTGGATGAGATGTGGGCAGCATGAACTGGAATTCCACCACACAGGTGTTGTCCTTAAGCTGGCGATGTTGTACACTGTTAAGTTCATAGGCAATATAAGCCCTTCGAACATAAACCTGGTCAAAAAGTAATCCTCAGTAAATACACTTCGAAAACAAAAACTAAGAAATGCTTAGTCCAGGAAAAGGATACTCCTGAGAAGAGGTATGCAATGTAGAAGAAGGCTCTGAACATAAATAACTTGCTTCAATTAATAAAGCTAAAGTCTTAAAACTATACCCGTGACTATAAATGGAAATAAAACTGCCCTGCCTCTGCTGGATACCTCTGGCTGGGCCATAAACCTTTCACACTAACCCAAACTCAGGAGAAGGTTTGATCATTAGTAAAAGCGAGCATATAGAATCACAACTACTAACTCATTGCGCACAATCATCCCAACAGAAGATAAAAGCAAGCAGCGAGAAAAATGAGAGGTACTGGTTCTGAGCCACCTGCGGAATGAAGGCAGAAGACAGAGACACTTCAACTCTTTCACTATCCTTTATCTTTGTTTTCCCACTGCCCTGAATTATTTTAGATTACTCATATCCCCCAAACCGTAGGCAAGAGCAGTAAGACATAATGTGACATAGTATCTCACACGTACTAACTTGACTCAAGAGTTAAAAGAAACAGCAACAGGCTCCATCTCAGCAAAAACCATCAGTCTGACCTTGTGCACTTCGCAGCCAATTTGCCACGCACAGAAAATGCTACGTGGGATTCTATCATCATGTGAGGTATATAAGATTTCTCATTAAATGACATGAAAGCACTCTAAGATACTTAGATATTTTTAAAATTTGGTATTTACTGAGTACGATACATTATATTCTACCCACAGAATACAAATAAAAAGTAAGCCAAAGGAGCCTGCAACAGATTGTAGTGATGTTGTGTTAAATAAAGTCATCTAAAACACTCCTTTTCTTCATCTTCACAAAACATCTACTTGGCAATTTTACAGCAGTATTCAGGGCCTGCAATTTTTGTGCTTAATGAGGTAGAGTGCTGTAGTGGAAACAGGAAAGTCTTTGAGTCAGACTGACCTGGGTTCAAATGCAAACCCTTCAGCTTATAATCTACGTAAATGTGGCCAAGTCACAAACTCAGAGTCTAACTTTCTTTTTACTTCATGAAGTAATGGTAGGGTTAAATGAGAAAAAGCGTGAAGCACCTAAAACACAGTTCATTAAATGTTATTATTACTTTCTTTCTCATGACAAAATATTTCAAAAGGTGACCTTGTGCACTTCGCAGCCAATTTGCCACGCACAGAAAATGCTACGTGGGATTCTATCATCATGTGAAGTATATAAGATTTCTCATTAAATGACATGAAAGCACTCTAAGATACTTAGATATTTTTAAAATTTGGTATTTACTGAGTACAATACATTATATTCTACCCACAGAATACAAATAAAAAGTAAGCCAAAGGAGCCTGCAACAGATTATAGTGATGCTGTGTTAAATAAAGTGCACAAGGTGCACAGCACAAGGTGCTGCCTGAAAATTCAGAAGATAACTAAAATCCATTTTATTTGGCCCAAATCACAAAATGGTACATGTTCTGGTCAGCCATGTTTTTTTATTTATTGTTTTATAGGGAATTTTGATTTATTATGAAATGAGAGAATTCAAATATCTGGAAAGTAGAGACTATTGAAAAATGCTGGCAGCTATTTTCCCGTGATTGGAGCCCAGAAGTGGTGATTAGTTCAGCTGAAACACTTGAGTAAAGCAAGTCTTTGTTTCAGGGGAAAAGAAGACTGTAAAGCACCAACCTTAAGGCCAAATAAAAAGGACTGATACAGTAGCCAAGTGGACAGAAGAAATCAGCTAGAAACCAAGAAAAAGGTCACATCGTGTTGCTATGAAAGCTCACCTCCAGAGCTGCCATCCTCACTACCTGGTTGCTGTGATAGAAGAAGTTTGGGAGGACGTCAAAAATAGATGTTTCAGACAAGATGAGTTTCTGGAAGGCACAGAGACAAGCTTGAACCACTACATCCAAAAGAGACCGATTTCAGTGCACAATATTTAGCATTCTGAAGCACTCAGTAACCCAAGAATTCTGTCTACAGATGTCATGTATGAACTTACCTTCTTTGTGCCTCAGCTTCCTTAGCTACAAAATGGGGAAAATAATGATACCTATCCTCATGGGTCTGTTGGCTTTTTTAAGAAAATGTAAAATTCTTAAAAGTAATACACTAACAACACATTATTAATGACCATATTAATATCCTTCCTGACATATATCTGTACTCAACCTCTCAAATATTGTCTCAACCCTCCACTACAGTAAACCACAGATTTGGACCCCAGTTGAAACCCTCTATTTCAACTATGAACCAAGTAAACAAAAACATCCTTTCCTCCTCTCTATGTTCTCCAGAAGAAAATCTGACAGAAAGCCTGAAGACTCCCTTGGCTAGACAGAACAGTATTACTCTTATTTACAGGTAGAAAAATAGAATGTCATTCCTGAGAAAACGATGTTGTCAAAAAAGTGATAGTCAAGGTCCTTCCAATTAGTAGTAAAATTAGCCAATACTCTTCTATAAAAGTGGCTCTGTATAAAGCTTACTAGTAAGCATTATCATAAAATGAAACTTAAATGACTTAAGTAGTTTTGTCTCTAGAAGACTAACAACTACCTATTTACACATCTGACTCAAATACCAGACATCAACCAGTGTGACCACTTAATTCTAGGCCAGAATACTTTCTGGATAAAAAACACAAGAGGTAAAGACTTCAACAGAACACGTCTAACAAGGCAGGCCTATCTGATTTTTAAGTTCAACTACAAAACAGCAGTTTTATGAAAAAAATATCGTAAGTATACAACATTTTATAAAGTCAAGGCATGAAATTTCACTACCACAGAAAATCAAAATAGACCGATTAATTAAATCATGCTTGGGAATAAAGGGGACAACTTTATAGTTTTACTGTTTCTACCACAGTGGTAGAAAAGGACCACATGTATACCTGCAGGTTCTCAATGCAAAACTGATGTCCGTACATGTCAATTGCTGAAAGGAAGATGGACTCTACTTGGTTATGGCGAAGCTCGTATGATGGCAAATGGGAGGCAATAAGAACCTAGAGTGAGAGCAAAATAAGAGGCATAAGTTCCTGAGGGAGTGATTATTCTAGCCTCCTATTAGGCAGCTCTGATACAAAAGCAATAAATATAAATCTGTAAGTGCAGGCATCAAAGATAAAACAGAGACCAAGTGGAACAACTTCTAGGTCCTGGAACATAAAGCCAGTGCCACCAAATACTGCATCTCGGTTGACTCTCACCATGATTTGCGTTGTGGGCAATTTCCCATGGGGGGATCAGGGGAGGGAGAGAAAACAGCTTCAATCAAGTTCCCTCAGTGCATATGATTTACCATTGCAAAGCTGCTAGTCCTGGGGACTGCGTGACTAGCTGTTAATTAGGAATCAGGTCTGGCAGGGAGCAGCTGTGGGTAAGGTGGAGGCAACAGAGCTAGGCTTTTGCAACTCTGAAGTAGAAAGAAGGACTAGGAAAAGCTGCTCTGACCGCCCCAGGTACTTGGTATCAAGAAGGTGTCGGGATGTAACACCAATGCATTTGAGGAGCAGCGTCACAAACACACAGGGACACAGTGGGACCTGAATAGTCTCAGCAGGTCACTGAGAGGTTCAGTAACTTTGAGTAGCTCAGTGACATGGATACAATTGTGGAGAAAGCAGAAGGTCACTGAACAGCTTCAAATGCTGCTTCCTTGTCAATGCCCATGCACTGAAACAGGGAGCACCACTTCTTGGCTTCCCTGCTGAAACCTTTTGGAATGGAAATGAAGACTACAGGGTGAAACTAACCAGAGTTCTCCAGGGTTGTTCTGATTGCTAGCACCTCAGATTCATTGCATTATCTTTCTGCTTTCCACACTTGATTTTTTCCTACACACTTAAAAAAGTTTTCACGTGCTTCTAAGCTCCCTTTGGGAAGTGAAAAATATTGAGTTTATTGCCATCCCTTAGCTTCCTTTCCTCCACGTGATCCTGGTTTACCATTGCAAGGCTCCTAGAAAGGTAGGAAATGGTAACAAAATTTTATAAGGGGGAAAAAGAATTCTATTTTAAAGAGACTCAATGTGAATGTTTTCCTTTCTCTTTAAAAAACATACTACATGAAAACATTTGTTCTGAGGGCAAAGAGAAGACATAAAGTAGAAAATTGCACAATCTTTGTCAGGCGACTGAGTAAAAGCTCACTGTTTCTTTTTTTTTTTTTTTTTTAAGATTATTTATTTATTTATTTATTTATTAGAGAGTGCGCAGGAGAGAAACAGCATGAGAGGGGAGTGGGTCAGAGGGAGAAGCAGGCTCCCCGCCGAGCCAGGAGCCCGATGTGGGACTCGATCCCAGGACCCCGGGATCACGACCCGAGCCGAAGGCAGTCGCCCAACCAACTGAGCCACCCAGGCGCCCAAAAGCTCAGTTTCTAAGACCACCCAATCTGTGAAAACCGTTTCTCTCTCAAGATCATCAACATATGTCTTTACCTGGCGTGCTCGAAGTGCCACTTTGGCATTGGTGGTCTTACTAAGTTGAGTTAGCTCTGTGAGGATATTCAGCAGCTCATCAGTGAGAGTAGGGTCCCGTCCGCACAGTTGGTCCTAATTGTTAGTGTGAAAAACATATACACATTCACATTAAAAAGAACTGTGGCTAGAACTCTGAAATAGGAAAAGGGGACAAAACCAAAGTAAACATAGCTGGATTCATAAGAAAATGCAAAGTTCTTGTTATTTTTATCCCAAACAATGTGGTCAAGAAGATCCCAGAGGAAGTCACTGCAAAGGAGAAACCCAAATCCCTTAGTCATTCGTATTCAAAATGCCTAGTGAATTCCTTTACAAATTGACACTGTACTTTCAACACACAGAAGAAATCATCGGAGACCATTAAAAGGGGCCAGGGGATTCTGAGTAAAAAATAACAGATGAGGCCTCAGAGTTGTAAGAGATTTTAAATAATATGGGGACTAAAGGCTTTCCTGTTCCCTCTCCCACTTTTGGAAAGAAGGCAGAATAAAGCAAAAGGAACCACTCCTGGTGGTTTTCATTCCACACACCAAATGTTCAGCATCCCAGGAGGGTGCAAAACAGAAGCACAAGAACAAATTATTCATTTAAAAACACACACTAAATAAAAACACCATCTCATATGCTGACAATTCTATACCCGAAATCATTTATCCTCTTGCTGTACCAAGAATCATTCCAGGATAACTAAACCTGGTGAATCCTTAGATGGATTAGAGGGAAAAACCAAGCTCCTATTATATAGTCCATGGGTTTATTCAATTGGGTCCTTCCTCTCCTAAAAGTTAAAATTTCCTAAGAAAAAATCTCTATCATATTTTGAGAAAAATGCTTCTTCTCCAGCGGAATATTAGTTCATTCCCTAAATTCATCCATTATCCATGTAATTTTCATCTAAACTGAGAAAACTGCAGATGTGGTTTTTATAAATGTCTGTCCTTTTCTGAAATTTACAGAGCTATTTATAGAAGTTCCTAACACCATACCACATAAAATATACACGTTTAGGCACAGTTCCTCTACTTGGAGTTTGAAATAATTGCCTTTATAGTGAATTTTTATTCTCCCTCTACTACCAACAGGACATGAAAGATGACCAGATCCCCAAAGGCTTACTGCTGCTGTCTTGATTTTCTTCCTACCTTGATTATCAGCCTTTTTCCTGAAGAATCTCCATGTCATACTTACCTTCCTCATCTCAGGCATACTCTTTATAGTCCCTTTATCACAACAGTATAAACAAAAGTTTGAGGCTTTCGGCTTTTAGGGCAGATATGCATTTCCCAAAACACCTTTTCCACAACCCCTACTACCTTCCACATCACAGGGTAAACAGTTTTGGAGTACTCAGCACCACCGTGCTGGGAAGAAGGTTTCATTTTTTTTTTTTCTTTTTAAAAATATTTTATATATTTATTTATTTGAGAGAGAAACAGAAAAGAAATCTCAAGCAGACTCCACACTGAGCGCGGAGTCCAACGTGGGACTCGATTTCACGGCCCCAAGATCATGACCTGAGCCAAAACCAAGAGTTGAATGTTCAACCAACCGGGCCACCAAGATGTCCCTTCTCAAACATTTTGAAACAGGAAATACTTTTTGGTTCTCCAATCCACCAACCAGAAGTCTACTCCAAATGTCCAGAGTCGTAAAACACATGATAGGATTTATAATTAAGGAAGTGCACGTATTGTTTTTACCTGTTGAACACAGGGAATTCACTGATCTGAGTGGGAAGATTCACCTGTTTAGTTCAGGGAATTCACTGATCTGAGAGGGGAGGGGAGAAGCAGCTAAAAGGTGACTATAAATCCAGGGTTCGATTGAGCATGGAGTCCATAGACCAGAGGGCCTCTCCACCTACCCTAGGGCATAAAAGAAAAAAGGAGGGAGAAAATGCAACTGGGCTGCATCTTTTGTTGAGAACTATGGAGCTAAAGAGAATTTCAAAGGAGTATGTAAAGTCACCAGGGACAAGACCACAGGAAGACAGAAGAACAGACAGGTTAACAGTGGATAGGGAAACCAAGACAAGTTTTTCCTACCAAATCCCTCTTTTCCCAATGTTCCTAAGATAAATATTCCTTTCTGAGGTTCTTACTCCATTCATCAGAAAGACTCAAGGAAAGATCTAAAAACCTAACAGGTGTCCTAAGTAATAAAACTCAGCTTCTCTGCAAACAGCCAGGCTCAAGTCTCAACATCTAGCAACAAAAGCCGACATGACAGAGTAAGAACATTAGCTACCTACTTGTATCAGACACAACAGCTTTGATATGGAATGTTTTCCCTTGAAAGGAATCCAGGTTTACCTTTTGAGATTAAACTAAAATACACACATAAAAATGGAGCTATCCTCTTGCCTAACTATAAGTCATGTTTTTACTTAACATACAAAACCACTTTTTTAAAAAACGACTTTTGTTTCATCTTTCCACTGTAAGAGAAAAGGAAGGAGAAGACGGGTAGGGAAAAAGAAACAGTATCTGAAAGAAAAGTGAACTATGGAGGATTTAAAAAAAATAATCAGGAAGTAATTATTCATTCACAATCACCAACCAAAAGTCTTCCCGGACCTCTCTGGGATGTGAAGCATCAAATACAGTACCAATAAACCACTACCTCCATTAGTTTATCCGGACTTGGATTTTTCATTCAAATATTATTTTCTCCATTGTCATCATGAGTACTTAGAAAGAGACTGGCAATAGAAAATCACATATATAGTAACCTTCTCAACCTTTTCTTGTCCTTGACCTGGACAATGTTCAGGTCCTACAAGAAACCGCCAGGGACTAAAGACCATTCTATTTTTTAGAACCAACCATCCGAAGATACAAACATCCAGAAGGAAGTTTATGGCCCTCTAGCCTAGAGACAGGCTTCTTATGGGAAGCCCAACATCACCATCTAATTCTGGCGAATACTTTGTAACAATGACATTAAATGGTGACTATGTCCATAGATGTGCTTCCTCAATAGAAAGAGGTTCTTTTAATGAGCCTACGTGCTGATTCTGGGATTACAGGTTACTTGCATAAATCTGTAGGCCAAAATGAACATAATTATTCAGTAATGGTTAAGATTGTGTATCACACACTTATTTCTCATATTTATTCTTAAGCTGGATGGTGGCTAACAACAGGGCATATTTCAGATTTGCAGAAATATAACAAACATGCTTAAGTGTCAAAACCATAGTCAAAGTTATGCAGCTGACTGTCAGAAGAGCCCAGTATAATGCAACATGATCTTAGCATCCTAAGATTTGAAGGCAATTCAAAATGGAATGTGACTAATGTGTAATGCTCTCAAGACATTAACTATTGTTCAGCTGGGTGAGGCACTAATCCCAAAATCAGCAATGGACTGGTAGCTTCTTCCAGTCACAGCTGGACTTTTTGACATTCCAAGGACGTCATGGGACAGGTTTAACAAGACATTGTTAATATCACCCTTATTCAGTAAACTTGGGTTCACTGAGAAAGACTTCTTTATTTACACGTTGGACAAAATTATTTGCAGTCATGTTAAGAGGAAGAAGGAAAGGCTCCCCAACTAAACCAAATCAGAGGCTCATAGGCACAGCATTACTCATAAGGAGCATGGTTTATATCATGTTCATGTGGACCATACCAGAAATAACATATAAGTAGTGAGGGGAGGACTACTCAGCATCAAGGTGGCTACTGGATATGTACTTTGCTATCTAGACAGCTACAAGGATGTTGATACTTTATATTATTGCCAAACTGCTTAATTTGGCTAAACAATCTCTTAAATAAGGGGACCTGGGTAGCTCAGTTGGTTAAGTGTCCAACTCTTGATTTCAGCTCAGGTCTCCATCTCAGGGTTGTGAGATCGAGCCCCACATCTATTAAGATTCTCTCTCTCCTTCTCCCTCTGCCCCTCCCCACTCGAGCTCTCTCTTAAAAAGAAAAAAAAAAAAATAATCTCGTATCTCTAAGTAAATGTAAACAATGTTCCAAGCTTTTTCCTATGAAATTATTTTATTTTTTTAAAAGATTTTATTTATTTATTTGACAGAGAGAGACACAGCGAGAGAGGGAACACAAGCAGGGGGAGTGAGAGAGGGAGAAGCAGGCTTCCCGCCAAGCAGGGAGCCTGACACAGGGCTCGATCCCAGGACCCTGGGATCATGACCTGAGCTGAAGGCAGACAGACGCCCAACGACTGAGCCACCCAGGCGCCCCTCCTATGAAATTAAATTTAAGAAATAAAAAGAGCTTTCAAAAAAATAAATTTGATCTTCCAGACTTTGGTTTTAATCGAGGCACCATGTTCCTCCAAATGGAGGAAAAATGATAGGACTTTAGCATTTTACTTGGTATTCTGCTTTCCAGATAGAGAAAGATTAGAACAAATTTGCTCAAGAGTCCTTGAGGCAAGTTACTACTAGGCGCTATGCGAATGCCTGGAGGGGGTGAGGGCTTCCTTGGAGCTGCCCACATTCCGTAACACTGATTCACAGAAGCCTGATTGTCTTGATCCCTCCCTGTAGGTTCAAAAGCCCCAGAAATCATCATCTAGCTCAGCAAAGCACACCAGCAACAATCGTGCTTCTAGAAAGCAAAGACTGAAATGCCGGGCACATAACCATCGATCAGGAAGCCAAGGTAAGCAGAGAAAGGGGAAGTGGCAGAGAACACAAGCTGGGGAATTCAAATGCTACCATGTCCAGGTGATATCTGTAAAAGACAGTGAGACCTACATGAAGAGTGAGCCAAACCAGTAAAATAGCTTTTACCACCCATTAACATTAATGCAGATGTGGGGTGGGGTGATGGGGGTGAGACCTGGCCATTACCAAAGAAGGAATGAGGAAACCCACATCTGGTATTCAGTAATATCAGATCAGAAAGGAGCACCTCTTGAGCTCTCATTTCTGCTGCATAGGACATGGCTAGCTGGTCCTCAGCTCAAGCGTATCAGTTAACTTCTTGATTTCCAAATCTCTACGATAAGGTGAAAGCAGCGGATATTTCAAAAGAAATTCAGTGATACAAAAGCCTACAGATCCTACTGTGTTGGCTGAGTTTTGGGTTGTTGAGTTTTTGTTTTTGTTTGTTTTGTTTTTTAAGAAAAATGTGAAATGCCAAAATAAAGGACAAATCCATCTTTCTCGTTCACATCTTCAGCCTTTTCCTCCTCCCCCTCCCCCACTCCTCCCCATCCACCCTAGTCACCCAAACCCAAACACTAACAACAGCGCTTTTCTCCAAAGAGCTCAGCCTGTTGGAAAGAAAGTTTGGGCACCATCCCTGCAGGTAAGAAGTAAGCAGGATGACAAGGTGGGGAAGAAAGAACAGCAGCAAGTCAGAGCCCCATTGGCTTCTGCCTGTCCTGACTGGCAGAAGCAGAAAGCAAAGCCTCAAACCAGTTCTCTGACAGGGCCCAGCGCCTCTGCAGCACCCCCCGTGTAATTACACACTTGAGTGACTGGACTCTGAAGAAAATTGAAGGCCTGAGCTCCGAACAGCTGCCATTTTCTCTCTCCATCACACCAGCGTGATTACTTGAGAAATGAACAGCCCCGGCTCAAAGCTACTCCAGAATCCTCAGAGGAAATATGGCTCCGTGTTCCAATAATGAGATTCTTAAGGCAAGCGTTACTTACAATCACTCCGCAAAAGGAGCGAGCCAAGCCCCTATATCTTACAAATTAGAATTTAAGAAACCCAGCGACAGTCTTGGACGATCATTACTCTTCTGCTGCTCCCAGGATTCTGGGCTTTGGTCTATTTTTAGTGCAGAAAACTGTTAAGTCCTTAAAAAGGGAATCATAATAAAATGAAAACTCACCATCATTAGCTCCCTAAAAAGGCAAATACACCCCATTTTAGGTCCAAACTGAGAGATTCTTCCACTCCTTCCTTATTACTCTTTTCTGCCAGAAAGTCCTGTTTTATCCAAATGAGAATTAGCAATCCTTGTATTGAAATAAAACAAAAACAAAAAAACTAACTGCTCAGAGATCTCTTCCTTCTTTTGATTGAGGAAAAAAAAAAAATCAGCACATTGCCATAGATAATAGCACTTCTTTGCCAAAACCTGTCACTTGGGGAAGTTGAAATATTACATAGTGCTGATACATATTTTTTTCCTTTCAAATGCATCTTCTGATTTCCCTACCATCTAGCCATTCTAGGGTAGCAAATGTAATGAACTCTCCCTGTAATTACATGTTTTTAAAAGTGGCTATTCTAAAAAAAAGTTATATCTTTGAGAGTTAACCAGCTAGGCAGATATAAAGTTGTGGTGTTATTTTTAACCAGAAACGTGAACTAGATAGTTTCCCTTTATTCTGAACTATGAAATAAAAAACAGCAGTAATGATTTATAGTTTTTTTTTTTCCCCTCCGAGAAGTAATGATGGAATCAAGGTACCAAGAATGCTAATTCCACAAAGGGACAAGAGAGGAAATTCTAGGAGTAAAGAGGTACTTCAGTCCCCAAAAAAGAGTAGCCATGCAGCTGTTCATGGGGTGGGGACGCTAAGAATAGTCTTATTGTTCTCCGATTCCTAGAACTAACTCAACTGGAAAACTCTAGGAATGAAGGACTTACAAATCATCTTTAAAAATCCTTAAGTCCAAAGTCCACAAAACTTCTACCCATTGGTCAAATGTACATTAATTCTAATCACATTTACTAGTCTCACCTCTATTTCCCACTTTCTACTAATTCTCATATTACAAGGCTATGGGGAAAAAAGCATGTATCCACTACCAGTACAAGAATCTGAGCTTAGAGTTCCATGTAGGTAAAAGAGAAAGGGACCCAAAGAAGATGCAGAATAAATTTAAATTTCTTTGGTGGGAGGGGCAGTACTGAAATTCTAACACTGTTTTTTGTTCTTAAGTTTTGGGACATAAGAGCCCTTATATTCATGGAACAAACAAGAGTTATCATGACAAAGTATACCAGCTAGATAACATTTTAAAGCTATTGTCATGAGTGACAGCAGGGATGGGGAAGCACAAGGCATCTTTAAGCAGAGTCAAGAGATCTGTCTGAGTTCCTGTGCAGGACTGCATACACAATAGCCAGAACAAGCCTCTCCTGACTGGAGCAGGTTCCTTCAGGTCAAGGACAGAGGGAGAGGTAAGAAACTGTTCACCTACAACCCAAGCACCACTCATCCCCAAATTACAAAAGACAAGGAGCTTTTCCTCTGACCACAGAACCTCAGAAGGAGAAATGCTTTCTTCACATCAACCATCCTTATAGGTTCTGAAAAATGGTACTCACAATAAGCATTGTGACCAGAAGATTCTTCTTGGTGACTTGAGCGTGAGAGAAGATATAGTTCAGTACAGTGTTCATGTCACTCTTGTTCTCTTCTCGAAGGGCGAACACACATTTGTCATAGTGACCTGCAAGCAGCAAAGAGAACTGTTCCTCATGCATGGATGAATGTTCAGTTACATGCGATTTGTTTTTTTTTATGATTCACCTGATAAGCAGTGAGAGGAAACACCTTAAGAATTTGCTTGGATGAATTTGTACAGAATTGGCAGTGAGGTTTAGTAAACGAAACACTGGACTAGGAGTCAGGCAATCTGGTCTAAGACCTGGGCTCAAAGCCTAGCTCTGTTACCAATTTCCTTTGTGCTTCTTGGAAAATCGCTTTACCTCTCTGAGCCTCATTTTCATCCCCCCCCCCCAAAAAAGGGTGGAGGGAAAGTATGTCTTAGAGACTGGGTGGTTGTTGATAATTCCAAACCCCCACCCTCACTCTAAACTTTCTCATTTAGCTTCCTGGAAAGATTTCCTTAGCAGAGAGGGTTCTGCTGCTTAAAAAGAAATGTCAATACCATTACACTTGATGATCTTTAAAGTCTGCCCCCGGCTTGAGATTCTGGTTTCATGTTTGACTCACTGAAAATGTTTCACCCTAGCTATAAGGAACAGTTTTAGCTCAAAAATAAAACCATACAAACTTGTCAATATCTACAGAGGGATGGCTGCTACCTCTGAAATCAACATTTTGCCCTGTAAATCCATGAAACAGCTAAGCAACGCCTAGGTTTCCAAATCCAAACTAAGGCAGAGATCAAGGAGAACTTTGCATTAAGTCAAAAGGTCTGTAGGGAGAGTACAGTTATGCATATTTTCACTGGCCCTTTATAAGGCCACCAGGGGCAGGTTAGTTCCGACAAGGAAAGCTATGCTTTGCAACAGAGGCCTAAGCTTCACGTTTATTGTAGTGATATCTGCCATGGGATATAATATTCAGTTCTTCAGAAAACAGCTTACCTCAGAATTAAATTTCCAAGTAAAGGAAAATTCGTGTTTGAAAAGTCTCAAGGTCAAAATTTCATGAAATCATGAAAATACGAAAGGATTATCACCTCAGTTCAGAATCCATGTTAAGTTACAAACCAGAACAGTTCCACTGTATTACCATGGATTTCTAGAATACTGAGTACATTCAATCAGGGTAACTCGGCTGTGTTTTAAATATTAGAGATCGATTTTTTTCAAAATGAAACTAAATATATTTGAGTAACAGTGGGCTACAATATTTAAGAACTGACAATCTCACACAAGACCCATTGAGAACAAAATAGAGGCTATTTAAAAACTGGTTGTCCTATACAAATTCATACTTTTCCCAACCAAGAAAGCTTTGAAGAGACAACAGAAATATATCTTGGTATAGGGAATCACTAGTACCAGGAGAAATAAAAAGACTATTTACCCAGGGAAGAGACAGCAGAGACCCTAAGCAGAAAGATAGCAATGATACCAACTGTTCCCTTTTTAAAAACTTTTTATTGTGAAATATACATACAGAAGAATAAACACCCAGGTAACTACCATCTATCTTAGAACATTTTTAATTATCTTTGAAGGATCCTATGTGCTTCCCTCAGAAACAACTGCTAAGCTGAATTTTATGTTACTCATTCTTTGGCTTTTCTTTACATTTATTTCATTTATCTCTCAATGTTATGTTTTTGAAATTCATCCTTTTGTTCAGATGTGTAACTTGGTTCATCTACTTTCACTGCTGTATAGAAATCCATTGTAGGAATATACTAGAATTCAATTATCTATCCTACTTGTGTATGTTCTAATTGTTGCCTGCCTTTTTGCTATTACGAACAATGCTACCGGGCGCCTGGGTGGCTCAGTTGGTTAAGCAACTGCCTTCGGCTCGGGTCATGATCCTGGAGTCCCGGGATCGAGTCCTGCATCAGGCTCCCTGCTCAGCAGGGAGTCTGCTTCTCCCTCTGACCCTCCCCCCTCTCATGTGCTCTCTCTCTCTCTCTCAAATAAATAAATAAAATCTTTAAGAAAAAAACAAAACACAAAAACAAAAAAAAAAACGAACAATGCTACCACGATTAGGCCTGTATATGTCTCCTTATATGTAAGACTTTCTCTAGAGTCTATTATCTAAGAGTAAAATTGCTACGTTGAAGAGTATTTAAAATGTTCAACTCTATTAGGTTCTGACAAACTTTTCCAAAGTGGTTTGCACTTTGGAAATTTGCACTGTCACTTACAGAAGCAGTGGAAGATGATCCAACTTTTTAATTTTTGCCAAACTCATTTATGCTCACATTTCTCTAATTACTAATGAGCTTGAACATCGTTTCATAAATTTGTGGATCATTTGTATTCTCTCTTTTGTGAATTATCTTCTGCCCATTTTTCTATGAGGTTGTCTTTTACTTATTTACTGACACCCTTTGTTAGATGCAGGTTTTGTAAATACGTTCTCCTACTTTGTGGCTTATGTTTTCAGTCTCTTTTGGGGATTTTTACATGAATAGAAGCTCTTAAGTGGAGTCAAATTAATCAACCTTTTCCTGTATAGTTTGCACTTTATGTGTCTTCTATGACAAAATCTTCCCTACCTTGAGTTCATAAGGCTATTCTCCTAAAAAATTAGTAGTTTTGCCTCTATAGAACATGTCTAAGTCTTTAATTTATCTGGAATTGATTTCTGTGCATATGGTTTAAGATAGGGATCCAATTTCTTTTTTTTTTTTTTTGGTTTTGCAAATAAATAAGCCATTGTTGTATGATTTACTGAAAAGTCTATCCTTTCCTCATGATCATGCCTGTTGTGTTATAATGTAAGTTTTCATATATGTGCGGATCTGTTTCTAGGCCATTATGTTCCATTGGTCTATTAATTTGTCCCTACACTAATATCACAATCTCTTCATTAATATGGCTTTATATTAAATCTTGATATTTGACTGGACAAATCCTTCCACCTTCTATTTCTTTAGAAGTATCCTGTTTATTAGGGCGCCTGGGTGGCTCAGTTGGTTAAGCGACTGCCTTCGGCTCAGGTCATGATCCTGGAGTCCCGGGATCCAGTCCCGCATCGGGCTCCCTGCTCAGCGGGGGGTCTGCTTCTCCCTCTGACCTTCCTCCCTCTCATGCTCTCTCTCTCGCAAATAAATAAATAAAATCTTAAAAAAAAAAAAAGTATCCTGTTTATTGTCAGGCTTTTCTTTCATGTAAATTTTAGAACTGGCTTGACAAATTCCATAGATATTCCCTACTAGGATTTTTACCGGAACATCAATGAATCTAGATGAATTCAGGGAGAATCAATACTTTGCAAGTATATATTCCAATCTAAGACTGTGATATTTATTTAGATCTTTATTATTGTTTACTCATTATAATTTTCTTCAAAAGAGGCTTGTACATTTTTTTTTTAAAGATTTTATTTATTTATTTGACAGAGAAAGAGAAAGCACAAGCACAGGGAGCGGCAGGCAGAGGGATAGGGAAAAGCAGGCTCCTGCCGGGGAGGGAGCCCAATGTGGGGCTGGATCCCAGGACCCTGGGATCATGACCTGAGCCAAAGGCAGACGCCCAATGCCTGAGCCACCTAGGTATCCCGAGGCTTGTACATTTTTTGTTAGATTTATTCCTTAGTATTCCATATTTTGGGTTGCTATTTTAAATGGTCTATTTTTCTAAACTGCTTTTCTAAACAACTGTTGTACTATAAAGATATAAAAAATTCAAATGTATATTAGATTTTGTATATTGACTTTTGCATTCAACAGCCTTGTTAAGACTTTAATTCTAGGGGCGCCTGGGTGGCTCAGTCGGTTAAGCGACTGCCTTCGGCTCAGGTCATGATCCTGGAGTCCCTGGATCGAGTCCCACATCGGGCTCCCTGCTCGGCGGGGAGTCTGCTTCTCCCTCTCATGCTCTCTGTCTCTCATTCTCTCTGTCTCAAATAAATAAATAAAATCTTTAAAAAAAAAAAAAAAAAAAGACTTTAATTCTAATAATAAATATGTGGATATTTTGAGGTTTTCTAGGTTGACATCGTATCTAATGGTGGCAGATTTATTACCTTACTCTTTTCTAGTTCTCATACCTTTTAATTCTTTTTATCTTACTGCACCAGCTCAGACATCCAGTATGATGCTGAAAAGAAGCTGTGAGAGCAGGTGTCCTTGTCTTATTCCTTTCTTAAAGGGGATGCTCTCAACAATGCTTTCAATTTTACCATTATGCATTAAGTACCTAAGGATGTTTTTTGTACGGGAACTTTACATGTTTAAAGAAGTTCCATTTCATTCATCATTTGCCAAGAGTTTATTTATCATGAATGAGTATTAAATTTTGTCAAATTTTTCCCCCATATCTTTAGATGACCATGGTTCTTCCTCTTTGAATCTACCAGATGATAAATTACAGTAGTTGGTTTTTCTGATATTAGCCAAGCTTGCATTAGTGAGATAAAGACAATTTGGTTGTGATGTATTATTTTACACATTGTTGGATTTGGTTTGCTAATTTTTACTTGAGTATTTTTGCTGATTATGAATGGCACAGCCACCCTTTAAAAGATGCAAAAGAAAGCAAAACATACAAGAAAACAATTAGTATTTCAAATTCTATGATGTTTCACTGCCACCTTGTGGCAGGAAGCAATATCAGCAATACGAAGCTTTTAAAATCTTAGCTGGAGGTGTTTCACATTTAGAAACTTCATACATCATTTAATGAAGCTCTTCAGAGAAAGCCAGGGATAAATTCCACTGAAATGATACACTGAAAAGTACTGGAAAATCTGAGCCTTTTTCAGATGACTGTGGCTCAATCTGTGGATTAGCTGCCAAGAGGCAAGCTCTTCAGATAGAGTTTTTCAATTTCAGCCTGGTCATGACTCAACCAACTCTCACTAAACAAGGTCAAGAAGACATCAACAGGGAATACTCATCTCTACTAGAAAAATTATCTCAACTCTTTCCCAGAAGCACACCTGATTCACAATCTCATCAAGCTGTGTTTTGTTGTCCTTTCTTGGGCACCAGTGGGATATGGAGGTTTAGTTTTTAAGGAAGGGGTAACAGGGGGAAGAGTTTGTTCATGGCAGGTGTTAGTGACAGGAAGAACTGGCTCAGTGACTGCACAGTCCTACAGGGAACCTTTCTCAGAAACAGAGTCCTCAGGAAGAGGCTTACCATTCTGGAACTGGGTCTCCACTCGCAGGTACTGCCGCAGCAGATCCATCACCACAGCCTTCATGTGGCCTCGGATGCCACTTCGGTACCTATGCAAGCAGAAAAAGTCTCCAGTGAAAACCCCGACAGACTAACACTATTAAATAACAGACTATTTAAATTATAAGCCCAGAGCCCAGGTTTACTTTCTAGATTTTCTACTGAACTGCTTTCCCACTGAGTTCTAGGGCAGGACAGAGGCCAGCCTAAAATCAACTAACCGGATCAACTTAAATTCTAAGCCTAAGAAATCTGCCTATAGACAAGATTTTTCTTTTTAATTAAAGGAGAGAGGAAAAAAGGAGGACAAAACCCCAAAAACCACTTGATAGCCCTACCTAACAACACTCTGGTTCAGGTCCCACTGCTAAGAATCAATGATCACTACACTCCTGAAATGGCTAAGAGCTATCTGAAAAATTTATGAGCATCTCGAAGTTGAAAATGTTCTGTCAATGTTCCTTCTGTCCAATAGTTGGCTCCATAAGCTAAGGAATGAATGTCATACTCGGCCCTGTGCCAGAAGAAAAATTAGGAGTTTCATCAAAATTGCAAGGAAAGGGGTGCCTGGGTGGCTCAGTTGTTAAGTGTCTGCCTTCGGCTCAGGTCATGATCCCAGGGTCCTGGGGTCGAGCCCCACATCGGGCTCCCTGCTCAGAGGGAAGCCTGCTTCTCCCTCTCCCACTCCCCCTGCTTGTGTTCCTGCTCTCGCTCTCTCTCTAATAAATAAAATCTTTAAAAAAAAAACTGCAAGGAAAAAGAAAGCAATGAAATTTCTGTGCCTTAATAATCGACAGAAAGATGTAGACTAGAAAGAAGTAATCAGAAATATTTTAGCTCGCAATTCTAAGGTACTTAGAAGATACAAGGTATTTTCTAAGATACAAGTGCTTTCTAATTTCTCTAGTCAAACCTGAGGTAAATCTCTTGGTGACTACTTAGAAGAAAAGAATCTTTCTTCTGGAGTTACATGTAACTACCTCTGAACCAGCTGGACAATGCTCTGAGTGTTCATGAAGAAGACTTCCCGCTCAGATTTCCGGTTCAATGTAGCGGCATGGCTATCTAGGATGTTGGCAATCTAAAGCAGTAGAAAGAGAAAAAAAAAATGAACCCAAACCAACAAAGGGACCCAAAGTATTAGCCTGTGTAGCATCACAACTAGTAATCTCAATTATAACATGATCATTTCCGTTTTTCCCATGTTGGGAGCAACTGGAAGTTACTGGGCATAGGTTAGAGGCTTGTGTGAAATAAGCAACTTTTATTTCTTTTCACCCTTTCCCATATGAACTAATGAGTGTATCACAAAAGATACCACCCCACCAGAGGCCCTTGACAGGCAGGATATGCTTATGGTCAAGGTCCAAACTTTAGTCCCTACTTGCCTAGCTTAACTCCCTACATGTAAATTAGCTTCACAGGCAAAGGGTAAGCATGCTGCTGGAACAGTAAGGAAGTTGTTGCTAATAAAACTTCAAATATCTCCCTACTTTAAATTCACAAAATTCATCTAATTAGGGCACAGGCCCAAGAATAAACCTCTATGAACTACATGGCCAGTAGGTTTTCCTCATAACCACAAATACTTTACATTTCACATATAGTATACTTTTGTTATTGGGCTTATATCCTGAGACACTTTTGTGAAGGGCACAACAACACTCAAGACTGCAAAAGCACAAGATCCAGAGAGAGGATCCAAACAGGAAGGAATCCTACATGAACTCCAGAATTGGTAGCTAGTAGAGAAAATGTCACTCTATAAATACCTGCTGGCTGGGAAACTGACAGAGGACTGATGTGATGTTGCTAGCGTACTGAGCCATTTCCTTCTTGATAGACTTCTCCACATTGGGGGGAACACGGCCAGAGACACTGGTCATGATATCTTGCAATTCTAGGAGAGGCAAGGAAGGATCTCTGAGGGTCTTCATCAACCGCTCTACCCAGTCTTTTACCTGAGAAGAAAATAATAAAATAAGATCCAGACAAAATTAACACAATCCCCAAAATAAAGTGATATCTCTAAATTCAGTACCATACAGTATTTACTGTGAAACTGTAATATAGGCACCTAACACTGCCATTGTTCTCTGGTTTAAATCCCAATTAAATGTGAAATCAGTAACACAGATAAGAAGCAAGGATTTAAAGACCTCAAATCCCATAAATCAAGGTTTCAGGCCCAACAGCTTTCTTTCGCTCCCTCTAAAAAAATCCTCATGTGACTTTTAATCTATCTTGGAGAACAGGTACCCTATTTGTACATCCTTTCCCCAAGAGAAGTGATTCATACCCTGCTGCTAAAAAAAGGATCTGGAAGGCAGTATCCATTCATTACGTTGACCAGATTATCCAGGACATAGTGGAACACTCGATGGAGCTTCTCGCCTCTGAGTGCTGTGCTCTGGATCCGTGGCAGACTACCCGTGTGAAGCTCAGCCTGTCAACCCCAATGAGAGATCAAGTCATCCACTACCTTCTATCCAGGTTACACACACACCACTGCAACTTAGATTCATCATTCAAAATCAAGACATCCCTTCATCATACCCAGCTACAAGGAGAGAAGTCAATGGAGGAAGCGTCATGAGGAAATCATAGAATATCAGTATCACAGTAATTCTTGCAAAGTCTAGTTCCATAACATTATAGGCACAAATACAAGGCATGAGATCAGAGGGAAGGAAGCTTAAGAAAAGCTTAAGGAAACTAAACACTGAAATCATCTGCCCCCTCCAAACTACCCCTACCGTGTTACCAGCTCTTGGAGAGCAAAATTAAAAGTACCTTCCTACTCACCTGTTGGACCTTGCTGGGGTTGTCCAACTGCATTTTGGCTATTACACAGCCAGGGTCAAGAGCTGCTCCAGGCCGTTTGACATAATGGATACAGCCAGACTCCGCAGCTGTTAAGGTCATTACCATCTTCATCACCTATAATGAAAAATAAATAAAATTAGAGTTTACCCTCTCTTTACACAGATGAATGATTTAAAGAGGCTAGTTTTTCCCCTCAACACCTAAGTCATATTATCTCTAATTCAACCCAGAAAAATGAGAAACCTGAAACCTCCAAGAGAGTACAAGGAAAGCAATTAGAAAATCTCTCAGGACCTAGCTTTAGGGATTAGTGACAGCTACTGACATTTCCTGTTTCTAATGTTTAAATTGATTTTGCCATAGTTTGTGTTTTACTTGTTTTATACTTAGAACTGATTAACGATTTAGCCTCCTATTACCCATGGCTTTAGGTGCTTGGTCTGTCAACCTAAGATTCCCACGCCAAAACCTGAGGGTCATTCTTTACTCCTCTTTCTCCCTTACCCGCCAATTACCAAGCCCAGCCAAGTACCTCTTCTAAAGCTCTCTCAGAAATCTTCCTCTCTTGCCATCTCTTTGATTTAGGCCCTTACCATGTCTGGCCTAGAGTACTTGAAAAACCTCCCAACAGGATTCCCTACCCATTATACATCTTCAACGAGGTCACTAAATGCAATCATTCTAGAGCCCAAATCTCGTCGTATCACTCTTCTGTGTAAAATCCTCAGGGACTCCTCACTGCCTGCCTCCAGGACAGTCTCAACATCTTACTATGTCTCATAAGGTCCTACATGACCTCAAGTTCTGATTACTTATTTAGCATCTTTGCTTGCCACTTCCCATTTAACCTCAGTCCATTTTCAAGCAATACAATATGTACTTGCAGTTCCCTAAATATACTATCTTCTCTTCTGTGCCTTTGTACACGCTATTCTTCCCTTTACACATTCACCCTGCCCTTTTTCACCTGGTGTATTACTACCTATCTTTCAAAAGTAAGATCCAAGTCCTCTCTCAGGAAGTCTTCCCCTACTACCCATTACATCCACCAGCTGCACCCCAATCTGGGTTAAGTGGCCCCCTGCACTCTGTGCTTAGCTCTCTCAGAATTCGTATTTCATTACTTGTCTGTTTTGTGGCCCCACTCCACCTATCATATTTTTTTCTGTATAACCAGCACTTAGCAGGATTCCTGACATTCAATAAGTGCCATTGTCTAGTATCTATCTTTGGAGGAAGAGACTCCTCATCTGTCAAAGAAAAACTCTGAGCTTCTTATTTGTTTCTAAAATTGTGTTCATAAGCCAATAAAACCAACGAATGCTCTTTACTTTCTATTTTCTATTTCTTTTGTTACTCTTCAGTCCTAGTCCATCCCAGCAGACTCTTTTCCTACCTTCCCTCCCATGCCCTGACCTCAATCTCAGCATAGCACTGGCCAGCAAACACATGGCCTCCATCCTCCACAATGTACTGGATTAACTTCCCAGCAGAAGGTGAGCGCAACACCGAAGGGTCATTTTCCTTCTCAAACACACAGGTCTTATTGCCGATTGTGATGCGATATCTAGGAGATAAGTAGGAGTATGTGAGCCAATAAAGCACCTCAGGTTGTAAAAGAGAATGGAAGAATGATGTCCATCTTAAACAAAACAAAAACACAACACACACACCCACACACACATGTGCGTGCACGCCAAACTGGAAACCTTATCTATATACACATAGACACAAAGAACACTCATTCCATCTTTGTTGACAATGCAAATAACCAAAACTTCCTTCAATAAGGGTCAGATTAAATAAATTATAGTACATCCATACAATGGAACACTATATGACCATTAAAAAGAATAGACAACTCTACTTAAAAAAAAAAAAACAACACAAAGATGATGATGATATAACAGCTAACATTTCTTGAACCCTTACTATGTCCCAGGCAATGTTCTAAGCACTTTACACGTGTTAATTCATTTCACTGTCACAACAACACTGAATGATTGGTGTTGAACAGTCTATAATCTATGTTAAAGGAAAAAAATAAAGTGCAGAACAGTATCTAACGGTTATTTTTATTTGTGGATGTATTCACAAGAAAAACACAGTATGTACATATATATAAATTGTATATACATATAAAATTCCTGCAAAAATAAATAAACCGTTAACAGTGGTTGCTTAAAAAGAGAGGAACTTATTTTTCATTGTCTACTCACATTGGAGTGGCAGAGAGACAACGTTTTTAACTGTAAACACTTTTGTACTTTTGAAATTTTTGTTAAGTACATGTATTATTCTTCTTATTTAAAAAAGAATCCCAAAAAGACCTTGAAAAAGCTGCAGAGCTGCTGACTACTGAGAAGGAAGCTGACACAATGACCAGCAAGTGGCCCTCACACAGCCCCTTACCTATCCACTTCCTCCTTCATGTAGGTGGTGTAACTGCTGCCATCATAGGATAGGAGCAGCCCGCCATCGCTCAACCGATGCACATCTACTTCTACGCATGAACCATTCATGATCACCACATAGGAGTTGGGGGACTGCCGAGTCACCTGCAGGGAGTGAGAACCAGAAGGGACAAGTCAGCGTGTCCCTTACCAGGTGGGGCCCCAGAAATAATTACTTCCAAAATATAGGAAAGAAAGCTCTCTCGGAGAAAAGGTGCTCTTAGCATCAGTGTCTGGGCTGGGCTAAGTACTGCTGCAAGCTCATAGGGCAACCTTCGATGCTTTTCCCTAGCCTGGTTGTTCTCTGACTCCTTTATCTCTTGGCTGCCTATGTCATATTAAAGAACACTAAAACATTTTCATAGAAATATCAAAAACTGCTTCAGGCTACGGACACAAATAATGACTATAATTTCACTAATACCCTGCCCTGCAGTAAACCAAACATTTCTCCCATCTCTGGACCTAAAGAAAGCAAGCTAACAAAGAAAGACAAAAAGTATGGTGTAGTCTTCAGTGGGGTTCAGCATACCTTAAGTACATATTTGACTCCCCCATAGATAAGTTCAACATCTACTGTATTCAGAAGTGTATGCGCAGGAAGGACTTGACCCCTGAAACAACAACGTGAGTCACATTTACTTCCAGAAAGTTCCAGAAGTTTATAAGGAAATCTCAAAGGTTATTAATGGTAGCACTTTTTAGAATATCAAGACTGGAAACAACCTAAAGGACCATCAGTAAGGGACTGACACATGAATTACGAAAAAGCCCTATAACGAAATATTATAAAGTCATTAAAAAGAAAGAGGAAGGCTTTTATGTATCTATTTTTTAGTTTACTTATTGATAATCCCTATACCCAATGTGGGGCTTGCACTCACGACCCCGAGATCAAGAGTTGCATTCTCTACCGACTGAGCCAGCCAGGTGCCCAGAAAGATGGAGGCTTTTTTTTTTTTTTTTTAATTTTTTTTTATTCTTATGTTAATCCCCATACATTACATCATTAGTTTTAGATGAAGTGTTCCATGATTCATTGTTTGTGCATAACACCCAGTGCTCCATGCAGAACGTGCCCTCCTCAATACCCACCACCAGGCTAACCCATCCTCTCACCCCCCTCCCCTCTAGAACCCTCAGTTTGTTTTTCAGAGTCCATCGTCTCTCATGGTTCGTCTACCCCTCCGATTTCCCCCGCTTCATTCTTCCCCTCCCGCTACCTTCTTCTTCTTTTTTTAACATATATTGCATTATTTGTTTCAGAGGTACAGATCTGAGATTCAACAGTCTTGCACAATTCACAGCGCTTACCAGAGCACATACCCTCCCCAGTGTCTATCACCCAGTCACCCCATCCCTCCCACCCCACCCCCCACTCCAGCAACCCTCAGTTTGTTTCCTGCGATTAAGAATTCCTCATATCAGTGAGATTATATGATACATGTCTTTCCCTGTTTGACTTATTTCATTCAACATAATACCCTCCAGTAAGATGGAGGCTTTTATGTACTAATACAAACTACTCTCCAAAACATACTGTTAAGTGAAAAAAAGCAAGTGAAACTGTGAACAGTTTCAGAGTATGCTACCATTTGTGTTTTTAAAAAATAAGGGGTGGGAAGAAATAAATATTACGTGTATATGCTTATATAAATTTACAATATGTCTGGAAGGTTACAGAAGAAACTGGTAACATGGATTGACTACAGGGAAAAAAACTAGGTGGTCAAAGAAGGAAACTTTTCACTATCTACCTTTTTGTGCCTTTTGAAATTTGAACAATGTGAATATATTACTCGTTATTAAGAATAAATAAAATCAAAACTTAAAAAAAAGAGAAATGCCCCAGTAAAATCAACCCCCATCTACTGCTATCAACTGGGACTTCATTTGGGGTAGTAAAAGAAAAAAAAAAAAAGGTAATAGGCCATGGCTGGGTTGAAGGGAAAGGGAAGGACATCGCCAAGGAGGGAAACATTATCAAGAAAGACTTTTGACAAGGGAAAGAGGGAGTAAGTGATAAAGCAAGTGAGGCAAGATGTTAATAACCGGTCAATCTGGGTGAAGAATATATAGAAGTTGTTTGTACTGTTGATGCCACTCTTCTTTAAATCAAATTATTTCAAAATACATGTTTTAAAAATAGAGGCGCAGGGGCGCCTGGGTGGCTCAGTTGGTTGAGCGACTGCCTTCGGCTCAGGTCATGATCCTGGAGTCCCTGGATCGAGTCCTGCATCGGGCTCCCTGCTTGGCGGGGAGTCTGCTTCTCCCTCTGACCCTCCTCCCTCTCATGCTCTCTGTCTCTCATTCTCTCTCACAAATAAATTAAAAAAAAAATAAATAAATAAATAAAAATAGAGGCGCCTGGGTGGCTCAGTTGATTAAGCATCTGCCTTCGGCTCAGGTCATGATCCCAGGGTCCTGGGATCGAGCTCTGCATTGGGCTCCCTGCTCAGCAGCAGGAAGCCTTCTTCTCCCTCTCCCTCTCCCTCTCCCCCTGGCTTGTGTGCTCTCTCTCTGTCAAATAAATAAATAAAATCTTTAATCAATCAGTCAATAAAAATAATAACATTATTTTTAATTAACATTAAAAAGATGGAGGGAAGTTTGCAGAGGAGATTATGTGTGACACATTTGTACACTAGTAGGAAAGCCATTTAACTAGATTAGAGATTGCATGGTAAGGAACAGATATAAGTGAAACTGGACTGGTAAAAAGGGGCCAAAGTATATAGGGAGTTGAAAGTCACACATTGAGGGATTTAGATTTAATGCACAAGGGTAATGTGAGCTGCTGAAGGTTTTAGTGCATGAAAGCAACACAATGAAAGATATTTATCGTAAGACTTGAATAACTGTGCAATCTCAGTTCAATTTTTAAAACTTTGTTTCTTCCTTTCAGACACCTTAAAAGAAGGCTTGTATCAGTCTAACAACACAGAAGGAAATAAAGTGCCTGTGATTAAAGTGCTTTAAAATGATTAGTCCCTCGGACCATTCCTCCAGGGACTCAAAGACAGAGCTTAGTCTCTAGAACCAGAGTTAGAAATTAGTTTAGCCCCATATAGTCTGATCCTCTATTTGCTAGACTCATAAGGTCATCTTGAATATCAGCCTCAATTATGAATTTCTGAAAGGTGTTGCAGGCAATATATGAAATATTCAGGGTTTGATTCTAGAGAGAAACACCAGATTTTCATCACTGGGCGGGGGGGGGGTGGTGGTGGAGAGATTTCATGCTTGTACAGGAGAGAATGCTTATTTCGGCCGGATTCGTTTTTAAAAAGCAACCCATTCTGGGGCACCTGGATGGCTCAGTCAGTTGAGCATCCAACTCTTGGTTTAGGCTCAGGTCATGATCGCAGGGTTGTGAGATCGAGCCCTAAGATGGGCTCTGCACTTAGCAGGAGTCTGCTTGAGATTCTCTCCCTCCCTCTGATCCCCATACCCTGCTTGCTCTCTCTCAAATAAATAAATAAATCTTAAAAAAAAAAAAAAACCTCCCACATCTTTTCTCTCCCCCACCTTTTCTCTCCCCCACCTCCATGATCACTGAATAACATGTAGCACTCACAAACTGCCAGGAATAGAGAGAAGAATAAATGGATCTTCAAACCAGGACTACTGGTTAACGTGCCTATAACAAACAAAGCCTACCTTTCTAAGGAGTGAAGGAAGTTAGAGATGCTATTCCGTAGGCTGACATCTGCCACGTGGAGAGCCCCACATACAACTCCCAACATGGTGTCAGGTCGCTCTGCCTAAAAGAAAGAAAAAGAAGGCAGATCAAAAGCACGGTCACTTAGCACCATGGCTCCTCAATTTAAATCAGGTACACATATGCTCTGAAGAAACAGCTAGCATTGAGAACCTCCATCCTTATTATTCAACTGATATTTGAGGTAAAAACATATTTATTTTTAGAACTTGAATAGAGGCAAGGGTGTCTGGGTGGCACAGTCGGTTAAGTGTCCGACTCTTCCTTTTAGCTCAGGTCATGATCTCAGGGTCATGAGATTGAGCCCCACATTGGGCTCTGTGCTCAGTCTGGAGTCCACTTGAGATTCTTTCTCCATCTCCCTGCCCCTCCCACTTGTGCTCTCTCTCTCTAAAATCTTTTTTTAAATTAAGATTTTATTTATTTATTTGACAGAGAGAGAAAGAGACAGTGAGAGAGGGAACAGAAGCAGGAGAGCAGAAGAGAGAAAAGCAGGCTCCCCACTGAGCAGGGAGCCCAATGCGGGGCTGGATCCCAGGACCCTGGCATCATGACCTGAGCCGAAGGCAGACGCTTAACGACTGAGCCACCCAGGAGCCCCTGAATAAATCTTTAAAAAAAAAAAAAAAGAATTTGAATAAAGGCTTCATTTGAATTGAGATGAAAAATACCTTTCTCTCTACTCTCCCTAAGATTTCCACTGAACCCATCAAAGAGGAGTTCAAAAACAAGATTTTGTCATAAATAAAATCAAAAAGGTGTAAGGATCTGGCTACTGTTAATCTCAAAGAAAAATGGTATATAATCAAAATTTGGACCTTCAGATAATTTAGATGAGTCTAATGATTTTATACAAAATTTCATTTAGAATAGCCCAGTGATTCAGAAACAAGGGGTAACTGCTGATTTAAATGAGACCCCTCTCATCAGCACTTGGTAGACGGATGTAAAAGTTGGTAACTCTGAAGCCGACTTAACATCAAATGAGGACAGAAGTATTTCAATCCCTGGATGCCTCTCTTCAAATACACTACAGGAAGTAATACGAGAACCCATAAAATGACCAGGTAACACAGGCACAAGGACTCTACGGTGCTAAAATTACACTGACTCCTAGATTTTTTCCAAGTAGATCAAGCATCATTTACATTAGAATCAAATACATTTTCTCTAGTGACATGGACTGATCACACCACAACCCTGTAAAAACCCAATCCCCAAAGCTGTTTGGCAAGTGGGGAAATACACACCTGTACTTTCTCTGCTATCAGTCTGTCCAGCCAGCCAGTGTCAATTCTATTCAACTGAAAGCTTTCAGTCTCCAACAATTTGATGAGGTATTCAACTGTAGTTCGAAAGTCACCCCGAATAGATAGCTCCTTCAAAGCCACCACCATGTTTCTGTGAGAACAGAAGCAGATCTGTTTCTTTTTCAATCATTTTAAAAAATCGTTTCGATCCTTTGGAGTCGTGGGAGGGAGGGGAGAGACGGTTCCACAAACAAATGAGGGTGCACATGTAAGTGTGCTCATTCATGTGCATTCCAGGCAGGAGAATCTATAAGTCAGTAAACTTAGGAGTTCTGACTGATTCTACCATAAGAGCATCAGCAAATCACAGATATTTCATTACATAGAGTACAGAACAAATTATGTGCAAACCATCCTCAGTTTTCACTTATTGGGTTTCCATCATTCCTAACTAGAATTAGGGTATAATTCTCCCCTCCTTACACCTTATTTTATTAAAGTATATTTTACATATAATAAAATATATTTAAGTATACTGTTCAATACATTTTGACCAATGCTAATACCTTAACTGGTTCCCATACAATGAGGCAACTGGCTGGGTATAATCAGTTATCGGTCTGACCTTGCATGTGAGAGTGTTTTTTTAAGCTGCATTTTACACATCTGTGGAAAGAATTGCTCATTACTTTTGTTATTTCCCAATTAAGTGTAAAATGATCTAATTTTAACAAAATTTCAAATACTATGAGTTTTTTCCTGTATATTTCTGCCCAGTGTCTATCTTGGACAGGGCACATCCTTAACTCCACAAATATTTAATTAGGCACCTCACAGACTCAAGACACATACTAGACTCATAAGGGAAAGAGAATATAGATTCAATAACTGCTTTCAAAACATATGGCAGAATATCATAAATGTCAGTAGAGATATAAGCAAAGTGCTGGAGTAGTTTTAGGAAGGGAGAAAATCCGCCTCCCTATGGTTTCAAGAAGAATGTGGAATCTGACATGGGATAAAAGTATAGGTGGGATTATGACTATGACAGGAATATCATTCCAGGGACGCCTGGGTGGCTCAGTCGTTAAGCGTCTGCCTTCGGCTCAGGTCATGATCCCAGGGTCCTGGGATCGAGCCCCACATCGGGCTCCCTGCTCAGCGAGAAGCCTGCTTCTCCCTCTCCTTCCCGTTCATGCGCTCTTCTTGCTATCTCTGTCCCTCTCTAATAAATAAATAAAATCTAAAAAAAAAAAGGAGTATCATTCCAATGCAATGGTCGAGGCATTCCCTCAGCTAGAATATTATTCTGTTTCTCACCTCTATCTCCCTCTCCACACCCTCTTGGCCTGGCTTATTCACGCTTCTCAACTGTCAGTCTAGATGTCACTTCCTTCTGGGAAACATTCTCTGACCTTCTCTAGACTGAGTCAGTGGACTCAGCTCTATGTTCCTGTAACACATTTATGTAACCCCACTATCATAAACAATATTTGTTACATTGAGTTTTGTCACTTATTGCCTATCTTCCTGTGGACTATAACATTCCATTAAGACAGAGACTCTATTTGGGTCCACCTTATATTGCCATCACCAACAGATATTCAAAAAATATCTGATGAATGCAGTGAATGAAAAAATGGACAGGGGTGCCTGGGTGGCTCAGTCAGTTAAGCGGCTGCCTTCAGCTCAGGTCATGATCCTGGGGTCCTGGGATCGAGACCCACGTCTGGCTCCCTGCTCAGTGGAGAGCCTGCTTCTCCCTCTCCCTCTGCCTGCCACTCTGCCTACTTGTGCTCTCTATCTCTCTGTCAAATAAATAAATAAAATCTTTAAAAAAAAAAAGAAAGAATGGACAGAGGAAATAGCAAGAACAAAGGGAAAGGGGAACAAAAACATGGGTCGTGTTCAGGGAACATTATGATTGAAGCAGGGGATATGAGGACAGGAACCAGTGACAAAGCCACTTATTGAACAAATACTGACTGAGCACGTACTATGTCCAGGGGAAACAGCAGCAACAAGGCAGACACAGTCCTGTTCTTGTGGTATTTGGATTACCATCTATGGGAAATAATGCTGAAAATGGGGATTGAGGTTATTCTGGAGGACAAGAATATGAACACCAAGCTGAAGAATATAGATCTAATGTTATGCAGAGAGGAGAAACGAACTGAGTTGAAGAATGAACTTCTGGCATGTTGTCAAGAAGCAAGCTTATTATAGAGACCATATATATATTTTTAAAGATTTTATTTATTTATTCACCCTAGTGAGAGAGAGCGTGTGCTCAAGTGTGTGCACACGTGGGAATGTGGGGAGGGGGGGAACAGAGGGGGAGGGAGAGGGAAGGAATCTCAAGCAGACTCCCCGCCAAGCACAGTGCGTGACGTGGGGCTCGATCCCAGGACCCTGAGATCACGACCTGAGCTGAAACCAAGAGTTGGACACTCAACCAACTGAGCCACCCAGGCGCCCCTGAAACCGTATTTTTTATATGCTAAAAGTTAACCCTAGTTAGCTTTACACTGTAGAGGAACGTACAGATTAGATCAGAAGGTAAGGAGCAAGGCTTCTTAACCAGATTAGAGGATGTGGCCTGGAGAAAATACTCAGCGGTCTCCTTAATTAGGACTATACACGTAAATACCAACAGATGCCCCTCTGGGAATGTAAATGAGTGAGGCAGAATTGGTGGGGGCTGGATGAACAAGAGAGTTCACGTTTCCTCTAAAAGCATCAGCCATACAAAGCTTCAGTTAACTTTTGCCAAGTGGAATATAAAACCAGTGTTGTCATTATCATCCCATTTTTTTAAAAAAGATTTTATTGGGGTGCCTGGGTGGCTCAGTCATTAAGCGTCTGCCTTCGGCTCAGGTGATGATCCCGGGATCCTGGGATCAAGCCTGCATCGGGCTCCCTGATCCACGGGAAGTCTGCTTCTCCCTCTCCCACTCCCCCTGCTTATGTTCCCTCTCTCGCTGTGTTTCTCTCTGTCAAACACATAAATAAAATCTTTAAAATAAATAAATAAATAAATAAAATCTTCAAAAAAAGAAAGAAAAGAGACAATTAAAAAATAGAAAGCACTAGTTCAATTTTTGATAGATATTCTAAAATATTTGAAGTGTAAAATTACCTCCTAGAGCCCTACTTTTCAGGCAAGCAGAACTTCTTTTAATATTTTATGTTTAATTAAGATAAATAAAATAATAATATTCAATGTTTATGTTTAATAGAATATTAATAACACGATATAGCAGTTATATGTGTACAAGCTGTGTGTAAATTTCATAGCACGCTGAGGACTCTTATGTAAACAGTGTGGATAGTTCCCTTATGTCATTTTCATGTAACAAGCAGTTTATTATTTTAAATGGCTGTAGGACATTTACAGCCATACCTTTATTTTGATGACAAATAGCAAATCTTATCTATGATTTCATACCGTGCCAAGGTCTTGGTCAAGAATTTACCTCCCCCACAAAACAATACTGTTTCTATGGAAAAATATTATTTCTTTAAAGCAATCAATTTTATAAATTTATCAAAACTATTTGAAAGTAAAAATACTTGAAAAGACTCAGAACAAAGCCATCTGCCAAACACTGCGTAATTTAACACAACATGAATGCAAGTACAATTGAAGATATATTTCTTCCAAAACATTGTCCATATCAGTACCTTTGTAGCAGGTAAATGATTCACATTCCCAAGCTCACCCTTTCACTGAAGATTAGCACAAATTTATTTTTTTAAATGCAATCAAATGTTATTATACTCACGAAATTGCTTCCTCTCTGTTTTCTCCCCAGGAGAAGCAGTGACCAAACTGAGAATCAGCAAATTCATGAAGGCCCCCTGCAGCAGCAACACTAAAATAACCCCAAACGTTCTTATTGCTACGGAAATTCAGTTCCTGAACTGTTCCTGAGCTGGGCTTAAAACCCTGTTAGAGAATGAAGAATATGAGAAACCATATTATATTTCTAAGGAAGAGAACGTTTATATGTTCATTGTTTCGGCTCTGTGTTAATCACATAGGGAAGCAGAAATGATGCACAAAAATCAGAAAGGCTTAAGGGCCAACATTCAGTACTACAGACCCAAAGAGGACTCTATAATGACTAAAGTTGGATTAAATGGTCAACGGAGCAGTGATCACCTATTTGTCTGCTCTGATGAGACTTCTATAAATTTCCCTCTCCAGAGGAAGTCCCAAGATTATTGCAGAAGCAGGCCTCCAGATACCATATTGATAGTAAAGTTCACAAGAAAAAAAAAGTGTAAACCTTTTAAGTGATAAGTTACCTCATCTGGATTTTCACTGGTGATCCGAGCAGCAATAACATGGCCCCTTGGACAAGGAACATGAGCAGAATTTTCAAAATCAATGGGAGCATCGCCCCAAGGAGATACCCCATACATCATACGAATATCCTTGATTCTGTATAGAGGGATCCCCATGGCAATCTGAAAGGAAAAACGTCACTCAATTTTCATGGGTACTTTCCTTAAAATGTGGAGGCTATCAGATTACCTGTAAGATTTTTCATTTTAGTAAGCCACCACCTAAAATGTTCTATTGTAGCCTGTATTTTTTTTTATTCTTATGTTAATCCCCATACATTACATCATTAGTTTTAGATGAAGTGTTCCATGATTCATTGTTTGTGCATAACACCCAGTGCTCCATGCAGAATGTGCCCTCCTCAATACCCACCACCAGGCTAACCCATCCTCTCACCCCCCTCCCCTCTAGAACCCTCAGTTTGTTTTTCAGAGTCCATCGTCTCTCATGGTTCGTCTACCCCTCCGATTTCCCCCGCTTCATTCTTCCCCTCCCGCTACCTTCTTCTTCTTCTTTTTTTTTCTTAACATATATTGCATTATTTGTTTCAGAGGTACAGATCTGAGATTCAACAGTCTTGCACAATTCACAGCGCTTACCAGAGCACATACCCTCCCCAGTGTCTATCACCCAGTCACCCCATCCCTCCCACCCCACCCCCCACTCTAGCAACCCTCAGTTTGTTTCCTGCAATTAAGAATTCCTCATATCAGTGAGATCATATGATACATGTCTTTCTCTGTTTGACTTATTTCACTCAACATAATACCCTCCAGTTCCATCCACGTCGTTGCAAATGGCAAGATCTCATTCCTTTTGATGGCTGCATAATATTCCATTGTATATATACACCACATCTTCTTTATCCATTCATCTGTCGATGGACATCTTTGTAGCCTGTATTCTACAACAATCAAATAAGTAACCCTAGTTGTGTGTGTCTACTGACATTTCTCCATTAAGGGAGCAGGATTAAAATACAGAAGGGAAGAGTCAGTGTAAGTGACTATCCAAGAAGTTCAGACAGCTAAAAAGTCCTAACTGTGTCATAATTATTCCCACAAACCACTCAGAAAGTAAATAAATCTTTAGTACTTCATTGGAATACAGAAGGACCTCCCATTGTGGGTAAAGACGTGTTAAATACAAATAATACCAAACCTCACCATTAGCCATTACTGTTTCCCATAACATTTGTTTCCTGGGCCGAATGGGAAAACAAGATTGACAACTAGCACTTTAAACATTACAAAAATAAACAGGTGCTACCAGAGTCTTGCCAGGAAAAACTTCCACCACCACCCTGATGTGGAATTGCTTCATTACAGAACACGAGTAAAAAAAGGAGTGGAGGACAAAGCTGTAAAGTTTTTTACAATTAATTGAATAAAGCATATTATTTTAGGGGCGCCTGGGTGGCTCAGTCATTAAGCGTCTGCCTTCGGCTCAGGTCATGATCCCAGGGTCCTGGGATCGAGCCCCGCATCAGGCTCTCCCATCAGTGGGAAGCCTGCTTCTCCCTCCCTCACTCCCCCGACTTATGTTCCCTTTCTCGCTGTCTCTCTCTCTCTGTCAAATAAATAAATGAAATCTTAAAAATTAAAAAGCATATTATTTTAAGAATTTCTTTCTAAAATGTGACAGTTTCTATCAGACGTGTCTGGCTTAAAAAACATGATAGTATTACTAGATTTGTACCACATCAGTAAAACCAACCCACACATCACAACCCATACAGCAAGAGATGAACATGAGATGAGACTTAGATAGGAGGTGCTTCTCTCTTATCAGGCACCGGTTAAACCCGTTCCTTGGGCATCTCAGACTTTCGAACTCCTGCAGGCAACTCGCTCAGCCAAGATCAAGGTGATTCACCTGGAGTTGTGCTGCGGGGAGGTTGACATCAGCCACCATCTCTGTACAAGGGTGTTCCACCTGCAGCCGAGGATTCAGTTCCAGAAAGTAGAAGCTTCCATCCTGGCTGTAGAGGTATTCCACAGTCCCAGCACTCACATAACCAACCATTTTGGCAAGTTTCACCGCACACTCAAAGAAACATAAGTCAACGTAAGTATCTCAACCTTGATGAGCTGGTGGACCACTGTAGCCCCTCCCTCTCTCCCTGACTCAAATATCCACCGTTTTTAAGAGCCACCAAAGGCTTTCAGCCACATAAGAGTAAATTTCACCCTCCCTGATTACTATACAAGGCCCCTAAGACATGGATGGCAAACTCAATCCAGAGCTGGGGGAAAACTGTTTCTCACTTGGGATCACAGACAACTTCACCCTCTCAGGTGTAAGTGTATGCAGGCAAAAAAAAAAAAAAAGCCGCCATGGCAGACTATTTAGTGTGCCCTGGTTTTTAGTATTCCTACTACTCTTCCTAGAAACATGGCTGTCCAGCTAGAGACTAGATTTTCTAACCTCCCTTGCAGCTAGTTACTAAGGTTTGACATAGTAATGTCAGCATTAGTGAGTAATATGCATAAGCCCTGAATCAGGTTTTGGAAAGGAAACTACTTATCCTCTATTCCTGTCTTTTCCCCTCCTGTGCACTGGAACACAGTCGTAATAGCTCAAGCCAGTTTCTACCATGCAGATGAGAACATACTAAGAATGGCAGAACAAAACAGAAAGAACCTGAACTGCAAGATGGCCTCAGGCAGCAGAACTGTCCTACAACCCTGGAGAGCTCACCTGAGATTATGATGGGAAGGAAAGATAAACTTCTACCTCAACAAGGTCATTTTATTTTTTGGATCTCTTTATTAACTGCTTAACCTGTAAACTAATCAATACAGAAATTATAAAATTCAGAGCGCCTGGGTGGCTCAGTCGTGAAGCATATGCCTTTGGCTCAGGTCATGATCCCAGGGTCCTGGGATCGAGCCCCGCATCAGGCTCCCTGCTCCACGGGAAGCCTGCTTCTCCCTCTCCCACTCCCTCTGTTTGTGTTCCCTCTCTCGCTGTGTCTGTCAAATAAATAAATAAAATCTTAAAAAAAAAAAATTATAAAATCTAGGTAGGATGCTACTATTTAAAAAAATTAGGGGCGCCTGGGTGGCTCAGTCGTTAAGCGTCTGCCTTCAGCTCAGGTCATGATCTCAGGGCCCTGGGATCGAGCCCTACATCGGGCTCCCTGCTCAACGGGAAACCTGCTTCTCCCTCTCCCACTCCCCCTGCTTGTGTTCCTTCTCTCGCTTTGTCTCTATCAAATAAATAAATAAAATCTTTAAAAAAAAAATTAAAATATGGGATGCTAGCTTAGCAACAGAGTAGTGGGTAGCAAGGAATCAAATACTGCAGACTGAAAGAAAAGGCTGTGGCCTCATTGTTAGGCATAACAAAACATTCAGTAAACTGTCTTCCACAATAACTTGGATGGCAGACAACACACTAAGTAAGCCCTAAGAAAAAGTTAGATAAAGTCAGAATGTGAAAAAACCAACTGCTTTTGTACCCCAAAACCAGGTTAGATTCTCACCCTGAAGCAACCCAGTATCAAAGATCCACTAGTAGAGGAAAACTTAATGTATCTAGAAATTTGGGGAGTGTGGTTACTCCTACCTGAAGCTGGGTGCAAGCAAATAATCCAGAAACTTAACTAAGTTTTGAAGGAATTGTATTTCTAAACATACCACAAACCTGGCCTTGAAAAGCCTGTGATTGATAACTAGAGTAGTATTTGTGGCCCCACTCTTGCACCAGCTCTGCCAAAGAAGGCATAGTCTCTAAAGCCCAATCACAGAGAAAACTCAATGAGGAAGAACTTCACAGGGAACGAAGCCAGGTACTTCAGGGACGATGGGCAAGGGATTTACTACCTGAGAGCAGAACCAGAGGCAGCGAGAGGGCTAAATGAAATCACCACAATTACTGCCTAGAAGGATCTGCTAACTGCTATGGACCATGGGGAGTAATCCTGTTCATATTCCATCACTGTATATTGGGTAGATGCTGGAGGGAGGAATGACTGGGGGTAGATAACTTGTATTTTAGGCCACTGGCCCGTGAAAAGCCACATGAACATTTAATGCAGAGAAATGTACATGACCTAGAGATCCTGGACTCTGAGCTGACTGTAGTAACTGGTTGGTACTTTGGGCTGTCTTCTTTGGGGAAAGACTAAGTATGTTAGTAAGAAAGTGAGAAAAGGGGTGTGAAAAGATAATGGGTAGCCAGAGGAGCAGACTGAGGCAGATTATTAAATTATTAAATGCCCTCCAGCGATTTTTCTGTGTGTCATTCATCTAGTAATTGCATCTCCTGAATTTCAGCTGAGTATATGGCCACCCAGTTAGTGACTACAATTCCCAACATCCCTTATAGCTAGGTGTGACTGTGTAACTGAATTTTGCCCAATGGGATATGAACAGAAGTAATATGGGTAACTTCTGGATCACATTTTTATATGCTTGCCCTCCTAGTCCTTTCTCGCCTCCTCCCACAGGCTATAGTACGAACCTCATCTTGTGAGGAACCTTTAATCATGAAGATAATAACACCTTAGAGCAAGGGTTGGCAAACATTTTCATTAAAGAACCAGATAGTAATTATTTTCAGCTTTGTGGCCTATATAGTTTCTGCCACACCACACAACTCCGGCATTGCAGTGATAAAGCAGCCAGATCAGACATAAATAAATTAGCATGGCTGTGATGCAATAACTTTTTATTTACAAAGAAAGTTGGCAGTTTGGATTTCGCTAACAAGGTGTAGTTTGCTGACCCCATTCCTAGTGAATGGCACAGCAATAAATCTGGGTCCCTGGTACTAACTCATCTTGCAATGATGGTGAGAATGAGAAAGAGAATTTATACCTTATTAAAGCCACTGAATTTTGGAGGCCTCTTTTTTACAGCAGGTAAAGAAATGATTCTTAATAAATTCACACAATGTATAAATTAAACTTCCAACACAGATGACCATATATTTAGCTTATTTGAAATTCAGGAGAAAAGAGATGGAAAACATATTTCCGATAAGATGACCCAGTCACTATTCCAGAAAAGCCCATGTTCAGACCCTTAAACTACAAGTGCAAGACTGCTGAGAGATTCTTTTCTACACAAAAATACAGAATATATAAACTTTAGAGATGCGTAGAGGACCTTTTAAGAGATAATGGATTTCAATAAATACATCTGAAGATTCAAAAAATGGAACTACCTGATTATCATGAGCTTATTAAAAAAAAAAAAAATCAGGGGCACCGGGGTGGCTCAGTCCTGAGAGAGAGCCCCATGTCGGGTTCCGTGCTCAGCGCTGAGTCTGCTTAAGATTCTCTCCCTCTAGGGGCACCTGGGTGGCTCATTCCGTTGGGTGTCTGCCTTTGGCTCGGGTCATGATCCCAGAATCCTGCTCAGTGGGGAGGCTGCTTCTCCCTTTGTCCCTCTCCCTACCCCTTCCCCTGCTCAAGCCTTCGCTCTCTTAAATAAATAAAATCTGAAAAAAAATGTTAAACAGTAAGATTAAAAATCCCCAAACATTTCTTTTCTTTATCCCTACTCAAAATAGTATACTAAATAATTTTTTTCAAAAGCGTTAACTAATTGAGAGCCCGAAATGTTTAGAGGGAGAATGGTAGAATCACTTTTCCTTTAGGAAAAGGATATAATCTTATAAATTATCTAGAACCACTGTGTGAAATTCCAGTATTCTCAGACTGGTATATGAATTGAATGAGTAGTAGTCCTGTGTAAGAAAACAAAACTTACAGCTTTTCATATACACACCTGTTCCATATGTTCAAATACTGCTGGAGTAGCGATAGCAGCAGGTGCTTCCTCAATAATCTTCTGATGCCTGCGCTGTACAGAGCAGTCACGACCAAAGAGAGAGATAGCATTGCCATATTGATCTGCTAAGATCTGTACCTCCAGATGACGAGATTGTTTGGCTAGTCTCATCACAAATATAGGAGATCCAGGGACTTCAGCTTGAACCTATATTAGAAAAGGAAATAAAACAAATTCTTAAGTAGTAAGCATTTTTCCTATCCTGATAAGCTGCTTCAATTTCAACAGGCAGATGCCTAGAAGTGTCAGGGACCACGTGAATTAGTAGGAATACAGAAATGAATAAAACATAGCTCATGCCCTCATCTATTTTTAAGATCCTGCATTCTTAGTTATATAACTGATATTACTTGGTGATTGTGAAACACAGGAACATCCAGTGTGTTACAAAAGTGAAAAACAAAATAGTTTGAAAAGACACACACACATCCCACAAAAGGGTGAAATACGGCCATCAGCGGCAGACAGCCAAATGTACACCCTGCTCCAGACGAGGTGCCTTCCTGGTTCGCATTCTGTCACAGTGTTGTAGTTGAAGGACTTGGATCTTCAGTGTGGAGGCACACCGCCCCTGGAGATAGAGTTCTACATTGGCAGTAGTTTTCCTGTAGCTCTTTTAAAGATCATCCAACGTTTCCTGGCTTCCACTGCTTTTACTGAGATGTCAGCTATCAACATATTGTTACTCCTCTGAAAGTAACCTTTTACAGCTGCTTTAAGATTTTCTTTCTCTCTTTTTTTAGGGCGGGGCGAGGTAGCAGAGTTACTCTGGTAATCTTAGATGTGGTTTTCTCTGTATTTATCCTGTGTGGCTCATAGTTTTTTATTTTTTAAAATCTGTGCTTGGTATCTTTTATAAGTTCAGGATAATTCTTAGCCGTTATCTCTTCAAATACTGTTTCTGCTCCATGATGTCATCAAATATTGCTTCTGTTCCATTCTCTCCCTCCTCTGAGATTCAAAGCCCAAGATGTTAGATCATTTCACTATATCCCATATGTCTTTTATGCTGTTTTGCTATGTAGCAAGTCTCCCCAAGACTCAGTGGGTTGCTTAGGACATCAATCATTTTATTTGCTCATGATACTGTCCTCATCTGGGCAGTTCTTCTTCTGGTCTTGCCTGGGGTCACTTGTGTGCATATCATCATCTGGTAGTTCAAGTGGGGCTGAATGGTCTCACTGAAATGTCTGGTGACTTGTGTTGACTGTTGACTGGTAGGTCCAGGGAGCCTTGACTGGAACAGCTCATCTCTATAGCATGTGGACTCTCATCCTCCAATAGGGCTAGCTCAGGCTTCTTCAATGCAGTGTTCCAAGAAGGTAAGGGCAGAAGCTGCAAGACTTCACAAGCTCTAGGCTCTAGAATTTACACGACACCACTTTTGCCACATTCTAATGGTTTAAGCAAGCCACAGGGCCAGCTAAGACTCAAGGGGTGGGAAAAGAGATGCCACCTCTTGATGAGAGGAAAGGCAATCACATTGCAAAAGGATATACATACAAGGATGGGAGGAGTTATTGCGGCCATCTCTGCAAACAATCTACTATGGTCAGCCCTCTGGCCACAATAATTCATATACCTCCCACATGCAAAATTGACTCACCCCCTCCCAAGACCCCCAAAGTCATCCAATCATGGCATCAGGCTTGACGTCCATTTTCTCATGAATCATGTCCAGATGCGAATGAGACTCCTTGGGTGCAGCTCCTCAGGTACAGTTTCTCTTGATCCAACGATCTGGGAACTAAAAAGACAAGTTATCTGCCCCAACACCCCCAATATTTAATGATGAGATGGGGAAAGGATAACTGTAAAAGATATTCCTGTTCAAAGAAGAGAGGATGGGAAGTACACAGCAGTCACTGTTCCATAGCAACTCTGCATCTCAGGTTTCCTGACTCTAGAGACAGGGAAATTTTGTTAGGCTCCTTGTTCTGCTCCCTGGGAGTGATTTTCCTAATCCATGGCTCTCCTCTGCTCTTAGCTCTGCCCTCTGGGTTCCTAGCTCTGTTCTCTGACAAATCTCTTTTTTTATTGGAAATGACTGATATTTACAGCTGAATAGCTTTCTCAGTCTGCTTCCTGTTTATAGAAAGTTGAAGAGACACAGAAGCCTCTTTGAAGTCTGAACTACCTCTGTCCCTTTTGGATCCTTTGGTGTAATCATCAGTACAACTTTCTTGAAAATGTTGTGGGTTTCCTATGAATCACACTGGGAGATTTACTCCCTGCCCCAAAAGATCTGTAACTTTTCTGCACAGACATCTCTATACTTTGGGCATATCAGGCTGCTGTGGGACAACACCTTTAAGATTCTTTGAAGCTCTTTCCTGTTAACTGAGAGGGTAATCTACCCGGTCGTGTCTTAAATATGTCTGAAGCCTTAAAGGATCTCACAGGTATTCTTTACTTGGCCTTTACCCTGAGGTCACTTTTCACTTTGAAGATCTTTCGCCAGGTGGAGAGACTGGGAATGAGAAACTATTTTCAAATTCAACAAGCTTGAAACACCTTCATTAGCTCATCTCTCTCTTATAATTCCTTAGCATTAAGTAACCAGAAGGATTTAACAGATGCTTTCAACACTTTGTCTAGAGATTTCCTTAACTAGGTCCATGAGTTCATTAAATACATTCTCTGTCTTTCAAGTTACCTCAGACAATTGTTTTGTCATTATAAAACATGTGTTAACCTTTTTTTATCAGACTCTACTATTAATTCCCTCACAGCCTATCCAGCCTCCACTAACAGTCTGTTCATCATTCCTCCAGCCTTCATGAAAAATCTCATCATTTTTTTGGCCTCCATCTATGAGCCAGTCTTAAAGCCAGTGCACATATTTTACTTTTTTGTTGTGGCAGCATCACACCTTTGGGGTAGCAATTTCTGTGGCAGTTACCCACTGATGCCTAACAAACCACCAAAAATTTAGTAACTTAGGACACCGACCATTTTATTTTATTTGCTTATAGCAATTTGAGTGGGGCACAGGTGGGTAGTTCTGCTGATCTTGGCAGGAGCTACTCATGCAGCTGTAGTCATCTGGCAACTTGACTGGGGTTGGATGGTCTAATAGGATCTCACTTGCTTGTCTCAAATGTGATGCTGTCAGCATGTAGATCTAGGAAGTCTCAGCTGGGACAAATCATCTCTACATCATGCAGCCTCTCTTTCTCCAAAAGGCTAGACTGGTTTCTTCACTTGTCAGTATGAGGCTCAATTCAAGAGGGCAAGGGCAGAAATGAGGTTTAGACTTCAGAACTTATAAATCATTTCTGCTACATTCTCTTGGCTAAAACAAGTCATAGGGTTAGCCAAACTTTAAAGAGTGGGGAAAAAAGACAGTCTTTCTTGATGGGAAGAGAGGCAAAAATCATAGGGGTCTGTATAGAGAGATGGGAGGAGTCATCATGTTCATCTTTGCAAATAATCTCTTACATGCTCTTTTCTGTATTTTTCATCCTTTTGTCTCTTCATGGCTTCGGTCTGAATTTTCTTCTATCTTCCAGTCACTAATTCTCTCTTCAACTGCATCTAACATGCTATTAAACTCCTCTATTGACTTCTTATTTTTAGTTACTGTATTTTCAGTTCTAGAATTTGTTTCTTCTTTATCGTTTCCAGTTTTCCAACCAAATTCTTGTCTTTAATTTCCTTGAATACATTAAGTATAGTTACTTTAAAATCCTTGTCTGATAGATCCATTACCTAAATTCTCTGTGGGTCCCTTTAAAACTGACTTTTATTTTTCTAGATTTTCAGTCATGTAATTTGATATGCTTGCTTACTTTGAAATGGCTATTTGAAACTTCATTTGAAAAATAAATAGAAATAATTTGAGGTTCTGGATGTTATTATATTTGCTTCTTTCTAGTGGCTAGTGACACTAGCAATCCTAGAACCCCTTGCTTGAATCAAAGGTTGAGTATTTTGAAGCTGAGATTTAGTCCCTGTGAAGGTTGGTCTATTTCCAGTTTATTTTTACTCCTAAGGTATAGTCCCTTCAAGATCCCAACCTAAAATGTGGGAGGGTTTCCCAGGGAATCCTCCTTAGCAAACTCTAAAGGCTAAGTTTTGTCCTTTTAGTCTTGTAAAACTGTTGAAAACTCCAATCAGCTTTTTAACTCCTTCTTCTCAAACCAGAAGATATCTCTAGGGAAAAAGTGGTCTCAAATGCCACCTCCTCAGGTTTCCTTCTTCTCTTATACCTTAGCCCCATTACTCTTTATTGTCTTGAAAGGTTTCTAATGCCTTAAAATAGATTTAAAAAAAAAATTTGTCCAGCTTTTCTAGTTTGTTCTCAATGGGATGATTGGTTTGTTATTTAATTAATCATTATTGGAACTTGAGGACTTTCACGTAAAACTTCCTAATCTTAGTGTTCTAGATTCTTCAACTATTTGATTCCACAGTAATAAGTAGTTTTGAAACATCTAAAGGACTTGTATTTTTAAAAAATTAACATGCTTTTTCTTTTGCTTCTAAGAGCAAAAGACCTTTTCTTTAGACCCCATGAGGCATTGATCTACCTATGAAATTAGATAAACTACAAAAGGAATATAAAGAAAAAGAAGGGTAATATTTGAATTTTGACATTCAAAATAGGACAATGCAGCAAAACAACACCTTTATCACCTTTATCAGTTTGCTGTTGAATGGTTTTAAAAAAAAAAGAGAGCAAACAGAAGGTGGCTAGAGACACTAGTAAAAGATTGTGCAAAGTAAAAATGGTGGGAAAAATAAGAACAGTGGGAAGCTAGGAGAGTGAAAGGCCAGAATGTGTCCCAATTTTCCTTTTTCTGATTCCTCTTTTTCTGGTAGGAGAAAAAAAGTATGAGTCAAGTATGTGAGGGTAGCTCTAGGGCAGGAAAGAAGAGACTTTTGTCTACCAATTATCTAAGATTCTGAAAAGAGATCATTTTTTTGGCCTCCACAACTAACTTGTAGTATGGCTACACCACTTGGCTGCAAACCAGAGGGTTAGACAGACAGAGATTTGAGGTTTAGCTTTCCTAACCATCCCCAGTTATAGAATGTGAACCTGCCATAGGGTGTCTGCGTGTGGTGGCCAGGCAGCACAGACTAGGGTGTAGACTGCAGAGCTGGCCCGGTAGTTGGTACACACAGCAAAAACTCAGGAGCCTGCAGCCAATTTGAACTAAAGTAAGATAAACTCAATCAGAGAGCCTGAGTCTGGCCAAGCCAAGAGCAACCAGAATAAGAGTTAACCGCATACTTTGCAGTGACAGCAGAAGAGGGACACAAAAAGGTAGAAAGGCAAAATCTTACTTTGCACAATCTTTTACTAGCGTCTCTTCCACATGCACCATACAGGGAAGAGCTATCTGAGAAACTGAGCACTTTTACATAGAGTGAGTAACTATTGTTTGAGTTATCTTAGGGAATAAAACCTTACACTGAACTGGACATTGCTAATAAGGAGGTAGGAGCTAGAGAGAAAGACTAGAGTACTTACAGAGAAAATTAAATATTTTCTGGACATCCAAATTATATGATGACTTATTATCTTCTATTTTATTGAGGTATAATTGATATACAACATTATATTAGTTTTTGGTGTACAACGTAACAGTTTATATATATACTGTGAGTTATATCATGTATCTCTGATATATCTCTGACATACATGTAAATTCAAACAAACAAAAACAACTTGTATTCTACCTGTCTGAAAAGGTTAGGAAAGTCATCTGCATTGTTGACTTTTCTGATTCCTTTCCCTCCTCCTCCTTCTGAGGCCTTGATCATTACTGGATATCCAACTTCCTCCGCTGCCTTCAAGAAAAAAAGAGAAAAATGGAAATAAGAGTAGTATTAACAGGGAAGGAGAAAACTGGCACCTTCTCCCTTTAAGAATGCTGTCATTGGGGGAACCTGGGTAACTGACTCTTGATTTTGGCTCAGGTCATATCTTGAGCCCCATGTCGGGCATGGACTCTGCTTGGGATTCTCTCTCTCCCTTTCCCTCTGCCCCTCCTCCTGCTCAAATTCTCTCTTTCGCTCTCTAAATAAAAATAAATAAAATCTTAAAAAAAAATGCTGTTTTTGGTAGGTCCGAAAGTAGTAAAATAGAAAGGTCCTGAAGACATAGGTGAAAAAGAAAAGTAGTAACATAGGTGAAAAAAAAAAAAGTAGTAACAGTATTTGTAGCATTAGGTTGAACAAAAAGAAAGTGCCCTTTTTTTGTAGGTTAAAAAAAAAAATTGTTGAATACTGGCATTTTCATATGGTTCAACCTAAAATAATCCCATATACATCAAAAACAAAATAAAACTATATGTTTATGGGGCACCTGGGTGGCTCAGTCAGTTAAACATCCAACTCTTGATTTTGGCTCAGGTCATGATCTCAGGGTCATGGGATCAAGCCCCCATATCAGGCTCCCCGCTGAGCATGGAGTTTGCTTGTTCCTCTCCTTTTGCTCCTCCCCCCATTTGCGCTCTCTCTCTCTCAAATAAATAAAATCTTTTAAAAAACTTATGTATTTATATATGATTATGTATGCATTCATACACCCACATATCAGGGTATAAAAAAAAAGTCTAGGGCGCCTGGGTGGCTCAGTCGTTAAGCGTCTGCCTTCGGCTCAGGTCATGATCCCAGGGTCCTGGGATCGAGTCCCACATCGGGTTCCCTCCTTGGCGGGAAGCCTGCTCTCCCTCTCCCACTCCCGGGGCTTGTGTTCCTGCTCTCGCTATCTCTGTCTCTGTCAAATAAATAAATAAAATCTTTAAAAAAAAAAAAAAAAGTCTAGAATATACATCAGTGGTGATTTCTAAAAGGAAGATGGGTAGATATACTTCTACTTTTTACTATATTTATTTCTCTATTATTGGAATTATAGTATGTAGGTATTCATGTATTACCTCTAATTTTTATTTTTAAAAAAGGTGTAAGTAGTTCACTTAATAAAATGCTGATGGTCCCAGTACAGCTTCTGACAACGTATAAGATTCAACAAATCAGAACTCCCGTGTATCCAGAAATTATTTTCTCACTCAACTTTTCATAAAAGATAAAAATAACAAGACACTAAAATATTAAAAAAAAATTAGAACACTAATTTTCAACACATACTCTAAATGCGGTTTTTGCATTTATAGAATTTAATAATGATCAGGTAACAATCCTAAAACTTTCTGGAAATTATCATATATCTGTTAAGGATGGAGCTAGTTAAATCAAGATATGTCCATCTATTAGAATACTGTGCAAGTATTAAAAGGGATGAGGTGACTTTTACATGTAACAATACAGAAGATGTCCAGATTGTATTGTTATGGCAAAAAGTAAAGTGGGGAAAAGTTAACCAAAATTTAGAATAACTAAGTCATTCCTTTGTTAAAACATTCCAGTGATTTACGGTTTCCATTATAACAATATCTAAACATGTACCAACAGAAAGAAGAGCATTTCAGATGTTGAATTAGTCGATTAAGTACAGTTCCATCTCTTCTAAAATTCTCTTACCTCTATTCACTTCTATGCTTATAAACGGAGGTAGCCTGATGAAATAATGTTATTAAAGAAAGAGCTATCACTGAGTGTTAAGTACCAAAGAATCAGCCACAAATGTGAAAAAGACTTAAAAAAATATATAGGGTAGGGGTCCCTGGGTGGCTCAGTTGTTAAGCATCTGCCTTCGGCTCAGGTCATGATCCCAGGGTCCTGGGATCAAGCCCCATATCAGGCTCCCTGCTCCGCGGAAAACCTGCTTCTCCCTCTCCTACTCCCCTGCTTGTGTTCCCTCTCTCGCTGTGTCTCTGTCAAATAAATAAATAAAATCTTTAAAAAAAAAAAAATAGGGTGGTCCACATGATGGCAGTAAGAAGGTAGGCCTTGTGTAAAAAGATATGAAGGCTCTAGGCACAGGTCATCCATTCAGAATTTTTTTTTAAAGATTTTATTTATTTATTTGAGAGAAAGAGTGAGAGAGTGAGAGAGAGAGAGAGAGAGAGAGAGAGAGAGAAAGAGCACGAGCAGGGGGAGAGGGAGAAGCGGGCTCTCCACTGAGCAGGAAGCCTGATGTAGGCCTTGATCCCAGGACCCTAGGATCATGACCTGAGCCGAAGGCAGACGCCCAACCAACTGAGCCACCCAGATGCCCCTTTTTAGAATATTTTAGAAGAATTTTAATGTCATGAGGAAAATGCCTATACATAATAAAAAACAGGAAAAGAAACTAGGATTACTAAGTATATATACTAGCAGTACATATACTACTATATATATATATATATATATACAGTAAGACCCTAATTTTATACTTATCATAATTATGAGAATCTATTAATAAAGATGATCACTACATGATAATAATATATACTATGAATCAAAAAAGGCTGAAATAAGATGTATGAATGTGTTATGAACATGTATCTATCTCTGGATGGTGGGTTTATGGGTGGTTTTACCATCATCTCTTTTCTGGCCTTCCAAATTTTCTACCAGAAATTTTTACATTTAAAATTATGATCAGGAAAAAAAAAGGAATTTCAATTGATAAGCAAAATAGCTAGTTCCTTACAAAGGGCTTCTACTCTTTTGCAAGTTACAGCAAATAGAGTATAGTGTTTGCAATTCAATTAGAAATAATTATTCAGGAGATTATGAGAGGCTTAACTTGAAATGCAAACAAAAGAGCAAAATTAGTTGAGCTTTCAGCATCCCTCTTGAATTTATAACATACAAAGTCAAACACAAGTAGTGTGTTTTTCTAAAATAGCCTCTTTCATCATCTACTTGGAAGCATAACTGACACTTCCAACTATTTAAAAAGTGAAAGGGGAACAAAATGGGGAGAACTATAAAAGAAAGAAAAGGCACTGTTGGGAGAAAGGATCTCCTTTTGCTTGGGTTCCTGTTTCTACAAGAATGGACAGTAATTAGACACCTTCAGCCTCTCTTGGCTCCCTCCCTCACCCCTCCCCAAGGAAAAAAGAGTGAATGGTGTGATTGGTCAGTTTGGAAGGAGGAACTGAGCATGCAGAGCTCAGCCTCTTGCCCTTTGGAATCAGCCCACTGCACAAAACATATGCTCTTAGTCAGCTCTCAGTGATACAAGAAGCTGAATGGTAAAAAGCTCTGTCTCTGCAGAGGAAAGTCTGTGGTTACTCAGCACTGCAAGTACCCAGTGAGTAAGCATGTTGAACTCGGGCGTTCAGTTTACACACTGAAGCCATTTTCACCAACATCTCCATTTGAAATAAAGCTGACATTTCTCTGTCTGCCTGGCTTCTTAGTTTTGAATTCAAGCAGGGGCAAATGTGTGTTGTGTGTCGCTCTGTCCCCTACCGCTGCCACCTCATACACACACTAACAGGTGGTAGAGAGCAGAATCGGTACTCCCTAAAAGCTCTGATTTAGCCACCTAAGAAATGTTCTGTCCAGGTGAGCAGCTTGCTTCAAAACAAATTTAAATTGTTTTTGTTAAATCTAGGTCACTTCCTTACTCTATAAACTGTATCTCCGGTTCTTACAACCCCAATGCCATCATGGGTGTATATCATGAACCAGGCTACAAATTACTTTGTGACTCTAACTGGTCAGTTGAAAGACATCACTCCCTAGAGTTCGTAACCTACCTTCAGCCCATCATCCACATCCTTCACATAACCTTTTTCATATAATTCCTGGGGAACATTTAAGATACGTTTTGAAAAATCATTTTCATGCCAGTCCACATGAAGACCTGTAATAGATAACAGTGACTTAAAAGCTGCTAAAAAAGCTTCTGTTCTTGTCAGTTTTCTGCTATTCCTTCTTTAAAATGCTCTAATATTTATCCAAAATAAATGTGAGAAAGAACGATGGCATAAAAACCTCATCAGTCCTTGGGGTTAACGATATTTAGCTCTAGCAGGAGCTGGCAACTCGGGTTCTCACCCTGGAAGAAGTCAGGAGAGCTAATAGGGAGGAAACTTATAAAAATGCAAGGACATACAAGACACACACACAAAAAAAGTCAGACTTTTCACAGCAACTCAGCAGGCAAAATACCTTCGATTTGTGTGTTCAGGCCTGCACCAGGGCCAGAGGTCTGGGAAATAATTCAATCTTTATGAGCCCTTAGAAATGGAAATGGCGGTTTTATAGGCCTCAGCAGAGTCATGATTCCATGTTCCCTGAATGTCCCTGTACTCAGCCACAAGGGGAATGCTATAGTCTCTCCATTCAAACAAGAACAAATTCAACCTTTTATTTTAAACTGTTTGACCCAGCAGGTCTGGAGAGGATATTGCAATCCCCCTGTAGAGCCAGAATAACAAGAGTTCAAATCTGTTCAGCCTCAAGACAATGGTCATTCCCATTTAAAAAAGGTTTTAGAGTATGTCTGCTCCCTGTGCTGGAGTACTAAAAAAGGCAAGTTCATATTGTTATCAGCTACAATGATTCACACAGCACTCTTTAAGGGATTAGTCAAGTATAAATCATTTTAAGAAAAATTGTATTCTTCTGTATGCCTGGAAGAAAGATTGACTATTGCCCTCATTTTCTGCATCAAGGGCAAAGGAGAGGTTGAATGGTATTGAACAGGCAAAGCAAATCATCAATAGATAGTGGGCTGACATTAAGAAAACACTGGCAGGCAAATATGTGAATAAGTGGGTTTTTAGGTTTTTCTTAGTGATCCAGGTCACCTGCCAGGCAGGTTCAAAGGCCTAATTCCGCCAAAGTCCATCTCTGACAAAGATTCTAGCCTACCCAGAGCAGATCCCAATCTACAGAACCATATGAGTTTTCCTAGAGTTTCTCCAAATTCAAATTAAGTCCCTAGATCACTTAAATCACAGTTTAGCATCTGTGCACCTGGTACAAAATTTATATTCCTAAGACATGATAAAATCACAGGTGTATTAATTAAGCTAGGAAATACAAGATAGCATAAATCAACCTCGATTCTATTTCTTATCACATATCCGAATACATTTTTTTCCTTTTTTAATTTAAATTCAATTAGCCAACAAATAGTACATCATTAGTTTCAGATGTAGTGTTCGATAATTTATCAGTTGCATATAACACCCAGTGCTCATCACATCACATGCCCTCCTTAATGCCCATCACCCAATACATTTTAAATAAACTTAACACCTAGGCCACAGTCCCAAATACCTACTGAGCTTTTCTGCACTTCAAAATACAAACAAGAAGTATTTTCTTACCACTGCCACTCCAGGGAAGAGTTGGGATACCTGCAGTTTGAGCCACTATGGAAGATGCAATCTTATCCCCCAAAGCCCACATGGCCTGGCTTGGAGGACCTAAAAACAAGAGAAGAACCCTGACTGTAACATTTTGGCCTCATTTCTGTCACACAGAGTTTTGTCTTCTATATAATTATTTTTGTATTTGTCTTATCTCTCCCTATATTACATATCATGGAGATCATGAACTTGATTAGGGGAATTACTATGTTATGACTCAACCAAATGTAGTAAGCTCTTAGCATACAGAGTTCAGTATATATACTGAATTAAATTCCTAACAAATCTAACAGATTTTATCATTGTTCATGATCCAACTTGACCAGATTATCAAAGTCTTTTTTTTTTTTCTTTTTAACGAATCCTAAAATAAGGACTAAAAAGTTTGGGGTTCAAGTCTGAAATATGCCCTCCTTGGTCTTAGGGGAATCCAAAAGGAAGATTTATCTTTAATAGGGTTTACAAAACATAGTCATCATTGTGGAAGGTCTCTGAGACAGAGACAGAAACACTTTGAGCCATATACTCTTGATTTCTCTCTCTGCTATAGGAGAGCAGGAAAGTCAGAAGAAACAGCACTCACTTGCAAGAATATAACCTATATAGTTAAATGTGAAGGTGCTGATTCATATTTAAGGGCACAGTGCTAGGGTATCCTAATACTCAATTAGTTCTGCTATATAAAAAGAGGTCCTTTCTCCATATATTTTCTTAAAATTAATGGCAAAGTTTTAAAAGGCCAGTGTTTTAGAAATCAGAGCCTTCTCCATATCTCATGGAAAAGAACCTGGGGACAGAAAAGACAAGATGAAGAAAGATAAGTAGGATGAAAGAAATAAGGAAGAGAAAAAAAGGAAAAAGGAATGAAGAGGATTACTCTGGGAGTTGCTAATTGAGGAAGAATAAGAGCCCAGTGCATGTTAAACAGAAGAAAAGCAGAATATAGATTGGAATACAGGCAAAACTGACAGGGAGAACCAGAAAGACAGGAAGAGTATGTCAGAAAGCCTTACCCATGAAGGCGATGCCATTTTTCAAAAGAAGTTCTGGGAGTTTGGGATTCTCAGAAGCATGACCCCAGCCAGCCCACACTGCCTATAAGGGAAGATAATGATTTGTTCTTAAAATTCATACTAAAAAAATACATGATCAACTGTATTACTCTCTACCAAGACTGACCCTACTCCATGAGGTACAATGACTCCACAAGAGCTGAACGCTTAATTCAGCTTCTGTGCTTGATTCTTGGCAAACTTTTTACAGAACAAGAATAAGCAGTCCACTGTGGCAAAACCTCTGAAGAGGTCAAAACCAAGTTGAAGTTGATATTAAGATCCAGCTAGTCTTGCTGCTCTTTAGGAAACTCAATTCATAGCCTTTCCACTAGACTCTATAGAGCCCTTTCTAGAAATACTGGTTTTCTTTCACAGATTCAATTACTTTGGTCACCCAACTCCACATTTATATCTAGTGGTTATACTGCCATATAAATCTCTAGTTTTTTTCTCTCTGGGCTTAAGGACATTTACACTAAATTTCCTAACACAATATAATAGGGAAGAAATAATCTGCTTCTACACCACCATATTCTGAGGTAAGAATATTCCATTGGAATCAGGAGCTTTTACTTACTTGAAATAGTTTGAAGGTAAAATGGATAACATAAATAATCTCTGAAAGACCGTTACAAACCTTCTGTTTGTATTATGTTTACTTTATTTTTGACTCATTCATTTTTTTCCATCTTTCTTTTCCTAATCTGCTATATCCCGTATAAAAAAGCTTTTATCAAACTTTCAACAAAGATGCTTTATATAAAATTTAAACTTCTTCTCTGGATAGCCCCTTGCATCTAACAGTCAAATGGCTAAATCTGGTTTGAAAGGACACACTGGCATCTCTTACTTGTACTGGAATCCTTTTTGCAATATCAAGAATTAATTCCACATTTGCATAGTTGTTGTTGTTTGGTCCTCCTGGCACTGGCACATAGTGATCTGCCATCTTAATGTATTCTGAAAATGCAAGCAAATTAATAGAGAAGACATGCTTTATTTTCAGAAATATAACAGCAGAGCAAAACTCTGTAAAGGACAGATACCATCACAGGTGACGACAGGACAAACTGTGTTAATGGGGTAAGTCCCAGGACCATTTAGTTAGAGGCTCTGACTTTATGAAGTCACAGGCACTAACATGTGCTAATCTCATATTTAGGAAGCTCTTATACTAAAACAACAGTTCTCAAACATTTCATTATGTAACCTTTTAGAAAGGTCTTTAAGATGTCTGTATCGAGGATGGCACTTAGAGGCCCCTGTACAATTATTCTAGTCTGATAAAAAGTTTTAGTCCTGACAGTCTTTATCGTCAACTTGCACTGTACTCTGAGAAAGCCCTTTTACTGGTGCAGAGCCAGGACAAACTGGGAAGGGAGGGGAGATCCTGAAGGGCTTGCAGACTGGCTGAACAGGAAAGGTCAGTTACAGGCATCTACCAAGTACTTGAAGAGAGTTTATCTGGAATGTTGGAGATACTGCATATTTGAAAGACACTTTTAAAAGATACCTTCTTTTGCTCCCTACATTTTTTTTGCCCAGGGTCCCCTGATGTCTCTCTCTTCCTATTCTGGCAGCAACTGTAGAAGAGCAGCTAAGGGCACAGTGACTATACTAAGCAGTTTACATATATTATGTAATACTCAAAATTCCTACAAGTGACAGGTATTATTGGCACCTAGTTTACAGGAAATTGGCTTGGAGCAGTCAAGTAACTTGCTCAAGGTCCATCTCTACCATATTTATTAATGCTTCTTCTACCTTGTTCTTAATTTTTAAAGGTTTCATGTCCTTCTAAAAAAAAATTTCAAAGTAAGATACAAAGGCCTAAAGTTTGTTCAAAAGAAAGACAGGTTTATTGTTCTCTTTGACAATAAAAGGGAGAGCATGTTAATTACAAAAAAAAAAAAAAAGGTAATATATCAGGATGTAATGCTATTTTTTAACAGCTAAAATCACTCATTCTCCCACCCCTCAAAGATAATCAGTTCATGCTTTGTTGTACTAGAAACCAAAAACTGTTAACCAGTCTAACAATATATTGTGGGTATCTTCCCATACATGACAAAAAAGGTATACTTGATAATATATATATTTAACATTTTAGATATATTTAATATATACTTGATATTTCAATGGATGTCTACTATTCCATAATGTCACAATAGTCCATAATTCATTTAACCACTAACTTATTGTTGGACATATGGGTCATTAATAATTTGGAAAATATTAAAATAATGCAATGATGAATATCCTTGTACTACTGTCTAATTATACCCACAGGATACATTCCTAGAAGTACAAGTACTAGGTCAAAAGGTTTCCACCGGGGGCACCTGGGTGGCTCAGTCGTTAAGCGTCTGCCTTCAGCTCAGGTCATGATCCCGGGGGTCCTGGGATCGAGCCCCACATCGGGCTCCCTGCTCCACGGGAAGCCTGCTTCTCCCTCTCCCACTCCCCCTGCCTGTATTCCTGCTATCGCTGGGTCTCTCTGTCAAATAAATAAATAAGAATCTTAAAAAAAAAAAAAGGTTTCCACATTTTCACTTGATCTTAGCCAAAAGGCCAAGAAGCGATAAGGTTTCCACATTTTCAAAGATTGAATCACATTAGACTCTCATCAGCAACATGGATGACAAATTATCTGTACTCTAATCTAAATTAGATATTATCACTCATTTATTTTTTTTAAGATTTTATTTATTTATTTGAGAGAGTGAGCAAGAGAGAGCAAGAGCGGGCAGAGGGAGAGGGAGAGGGAGAAGCAGGCTCCCCACTGAGCAGGGAGCCCGACGCGGGGCTCGATCCAGGCTCCTGGGATCACGACCTGAGCCCAAGGCAGACGCTTAACTGACTGAGCCACCCAGGTGCCCCTTATCACTCTTTTAAATTTTACCAGTCTTATAAACTAAAAAATCCCAATCGACTACTGTTTTGGTTTGCATTTCTTTGATTACCATTAGTATCAAATTTCTTCTCATGTGTTTATTGTTCCTTTTTCATTCTTTTATTAACTACCTAGTTCATGTTCTTGGTTCGTTTTCTACTAAAGGGTGTCATTTTCTCTATTATAGGTACACACTCTTTGCTGCAAAATGTTTTTCCAGATTACTATTTGTCTTTAACTTTTCTTTTTTTTATTTGCTAAATAAAAATTTTTATATAGTCAAATCCATCTAACTTTTCTACTGTGGTTTAGTCTTTTCTGAAGTTCTGTAGCCCTGGGTACAGAAAAAAAAAGTTACATTAATTGCTGACCTACATCACACATGCACATGCACACAAACACAGTCTACAAAGGTACTGTGGTCAACAACCAACAACGGTTCAGAGTTCCACACCTATCAGTTTTCTATTCTCATGATTGTAGACCCTTAAGGGAAGCCCTGGTAAATAGAAGAAGAAAGCACATCTTATTCACACAGCTTGGACTTCTTCATCGTCTCCTGGTTCCCACAGTTGCCATAATTACCACCAGATATGCTAAAGAATACTCACAAATGAACAAAACTTCCCTCAAAAGAGAATCCTTGGTTCTTTACCACAGATTACACTAATCATCCACATCTCCAACTTTCCCAATAATGAGCATAACATAAAAATATGCACCTGGGTTGATTATTACCACCTCATTTAACCTGTCAAGTATGCCTGCTCCCCCCCGCCCCACTCCAGGTCTCAGAGGATAAAGTCCTCTCCTCATGTGTATAACCAACTCTTCCATAAGCCGCCTTCTTCATAATCTTTTAAATTACAAAAGTAATTTGTGTTTTACACTGGATTCCTATGTGACTGCACAGTGGTACAAGTTTACTAAAACTCATAGAACTGTGAACTTTTTATGGCACATAAATTATATTCAGGAAAGGTACTAAAATAATTAACATAATAGAAAAGTTAGAAAAAAGGAAAAATCATCCAAAATACTAATTCCTTAATTCAATACCACTAGTATTATAATCCTCCTGAAGTTCTACTTTTCAAATAACTTTTAAAGAAATCGTAAAATTGTATAAACTCTTTGTAAAAAAGTTAGAAAAAGCAGAAACAGAAATAAAAACACCCCAAAATACCACCCTGAAAGACAACTAGTATTGCTGTTGGTATATGCCATTATACCTTTGTTTTTCTGACTATATGCAATGTATTTATTCCCTATTATTATGTCACCCTATAGCTAACTTTTTTCTTTGCAACAGTGATGGACAGACACATTGTCTGTTCCCATGATCCCAGTTTCCAGGTCTTCATACCTTAAGGAATCCCCCTCTCCTTGGGTGTGAGCAGATCTGTGACTTGCTTCTAGCCAAGAGAATATGGCAAGGACAGGGAGCTGTCACTTCTATAACATTACATAAGAAAGTAACCGATCTTACTAGAAGACTCTCCCTTGCTGGCTTTGACGTAGCAGGCAGTCATTTTGGGATGGCCCACATGACAAGGAGTCAAGGGTAGTTTTTTTTTGCCAATAACCAGCTAAACATTCAGGCCCTCAGTCTAACAGCCCATAGAAAACTGAAAGCTGCCAACAAGCACCTGAGTTTGAAAGTAGGTCCATCCCAAGTCAAGCCTCAGATAAGACTGCAGATCCAGGTGACAACTGATTGCAGTCTTATGATACCTGAAGCAGAAGACCCAGCTAAGCCACATTCTGACCTACAGAAACTGTGAACTAATGACTTGCTTTAAGCTACCAAGTTTATGGTAATATTGTTACACAAAAATAGATAAATAATGTAGCAATTTATTAGACTGCATTTTAGACCAACAAATGTTATTCCACAACATTATTTTTTAATGTCTGCATGGTACTTCACAGAATTGGTGCACATTTTATGTAACTAATCCACTCATGTTGGACACTTAAGTTACTCCCCCAGTTTCTCTTTTTTTTTTAAAGATCTTATTTATTTGTCAGAGAGAGCACGCACAAGCAGTGGGAGCGGCAGGCAGAGGGAGAAGCAGGCTCCCCGCTGAGCAGGGAGCCCAATGCGGGACTCGATCCCAGGACCCTGGGATCATGATCTGAGCCAAAGGCAGATGCTTAACCGACTGAGCCACCCAGGCGTCCCAGTTTCTCATTATTTTAAGTAACCCTATAATGAAAATATATCTTTGTATGAATACATCTGCCCCATTACTGATTTTTTTTTTAAAGATTTTATTTATTTGACAGAGAGAGACACAGCGAGAGAGGGAACACAAGCAGGGGGAGTGGGAGAGGGAGAAGCGGGCTTCCCGCCGAGCAGGGAGCCTGATGCGGGGCTCGATCCCAGGGCCCTGGGATCACGACCCAAGCCGAAGGCAGACGCTTAATGACTGAGCCACCCAGGCGCCCCCCACTACTGATTTTTTTGTTCCTCAGAATAAATACCAGGGAATATGCTTATTTTTGTCCACTTGTGCTCTAGACCACATCCCCTTCTACCTCCTCCAGGTCCCTATGCACTTCCACTCCTTTCCTTCTTTGGTTCCTTCCTCTTGAACTACAAACATTCCCAAGTCTCTTTCACTCTTAAAAATAAAAATCCTCCCTAACCCTGGATTTCACTTGAGTTACTACCTTTTCTTCTTCCCTTCTCATTCAAAATTCTTTAAAAAAAATCTGTCTATATTGGCTATCTCCATGTCACTTCCCATTCATTCCTTAACGTCCTCTATTATCTGCACATTCATATTGTTCCACTGAAACTATTCTTGCAAACGCTACCATGATTTCCTAATTACTGGACAGGTTCTATTCCTACTTCATTGGATTGCCGACTCATTTGGCCCTTCCTTATGGAAATTCTTTTCCTCTCTTCTGTTTCTTCTGTCTCCAGTCATCTTTTCTCAGCACTGTTTATGGGCCGATCTTCCTGAGTCTATCCCTAAAATTTTACTCGTCTATAAAATTCACCCTTAGCCCTCTTCTTTTCATTTTCTATCTGTTCTTTGAGCTTGGGGGTAGTGTTAACTACTATATGTTTGCTGATAATGTAGACTCTTAGTCTCCAGCTCTCATTATTTCTAAATTCTGGAAGGATATATCCAACTTTTTACAGGATTTGTAGGATTTGCTTATACAGAAGTACCCAAATCTCATTTGTCTACCCCCACAAAGAACCTTCCTCTTCTGGCTACGTTATTATTTTGCCCTTGTTGATGATACTGGCATCTGCCTCGTCAACCAAATTAGAAACCTAACAGTAATCATCAACTCTTCCCTCTATCACCAAATCTTGCTAATTTTACCTCCTAAGCCTCTAAACCATCCCTTTCTTCTCTCTTCTCAGCCTCATCATGTTCTGTAGTACTGCCTTCCACAAATGGATCTTCCAAGATGCTATCTGAATTGTCCATCTAACTGCTTACGTTTCAAGAAAAGAAAAAGTACCTTTAAGAGATACACACTGAGGGGCGCCTGGGTGGCTCAGCTGGTTAAGCGACTGCCTTTGGCTCAGGTCATGATCCTGGAGTCCCGGGATGGAGTCTCAGGTCAGGCTCCTTGCTCAGTGGGGGGTCTGCTTCTCCCTCTGACCCTCCCCCCTCTCATGCGCTCTCTCTCTCTCATTCTCTCTCTCAAATAAATAAATAAAATCTTTAAAAAAAGAGAGAGAGATACACACTGAAATACTTACAGATGAAATAATATATCTAGGATTTGTTTCAGAAATTATGTGTGGAGTGGGGAGGAGGTGAAAGTAAAGATGAAACAAGATTGACCATGAGTTGATAACAGATGATGCTGGATGATAGGTAAATAAGAAGGGATTCATTATACTCTTCGACTTTTGAATTGTTAAAAACAACAACTAATCCATTTAAAATGCCAATCCTTTAATGTCCAACACACACACACACACACACCCCTAAAAAAATAAAGTCTATGCTCCTGAGGATAAAAATCAACGCCCTCAGGCACCTGGGTGGCTCAGTTGGTTAAGCAACTGCCTCCAGCTCAGGTCATGATCCTGGAGTCCCAGGATCGAGTCCCGCATGGGGCTCCCTGCTCAGCAGAGTCTGCTTCTCCTTCTGACCCTCTTCCCTCTCATGCTGTCTGTCATTCTCTCTGTCTCAAATAAATAAAATCTTAAAAAAAAAAAAAAAATCAACGCCCTCCTTGAGAAATATTAGCTCACATCTTAAACTTTAACAAGTATACTTGTAGGTTCCAGCAAACCATTGTGTCATGCCTTCATACATTTGCATAGACTGTTCTTTTCTACCTGGAACGCCCTGCCTGGAATGTCATATTGACTGCTTCACTAATCCTTGCTCATTCTTGGCTAGGCGTAACTTCTTTTAGAGAGCATTCTCTTAACCCTGCTATCAAGAGCAGGGGTTAGAGGTAAGATGCCTCAGCTCTGTGTTCTCACAGTACCCTGTGCATATTTGTATTATAACACTTACCTCACTGTATTGAAATTATTTGTTTCCTAGAGCAAGATCACATTTTATTCAACTATGGGTCTCCGTGTTCACTGAGTAAATAAATAAATTAGTAGGAAATAGATGAGGAAAAAGAAATCATGCAAGGTAGTTTTATGTTTATCACAGACAATTTCATCTTTATAAGTATCCAGTATATTAGACATTATCATCTTCCTTTTACAGATACAAAAATTGTGGTTCAGAGATGTTAAAGGGTCAAACTAAATGATTTTACATAATAACATGCTTTCCAATAAAATGGTATCTTATGTTTCTAAATAAGATAATAATCCCTACTCCTTAAGAATAGTCTTAACATCATTGTCTCAATAGAGAGAGAACATACACAGACCAAAATAGGTTTAAAAAGATAGCTCCTTAAAGAGCTAGTGTTATCTGTGGGTACTCTACCTTAGAGATTATACCTTAGCAATAAAAAGTACGGAGAGGAAAGACTAGTCATATTGTCTCAGCTATCCTAACAGTCTTTATCGACAACTCTCAGATGGAGGGCCATCTGAGGAGAGAGAATATGCAGAAAAGCTTGCAGGATAAAACCCACTTGGGTTCCTCAGAAGGAGGGTAAAAAATAATCTTAACCCTAAGATTCTCTAAAATTCAATGTAGCTTAGCTTGTAAGTGAAATAGCCATTTCCTTCAAAATCTTTCCACTTACACATGCTAAAGTATATAGCTTAGCAAATACTTGTCACTAGAAGGGCAGACCTGGAAACCCCAAAAAACACTGGTTAAATGTCCACTTATTTTTACTTAGAACACAGGTGACTGTGTTGAGGTTAAATATAGTACAATCACTTGTATATGCCTATTATTGACACTTTTTTAAAGCGAAATCCTTGGGTTTGGGAATCCCCCTAAGTTAACATTCTCCTACTTAAGACTTTGCTATTCCAATGCTTTATGCTCATGGGTGATGCTTTCCTTTTTTTTAAGATTTTATTTATTTGAGAAAGAGAGTGAGAGAGAGCACAAGAGTTGGGTGAGGGGCAGAGGGAGAAGCAGACTCCCGGCTGAGCAGGGAGCCCGATGCAGGGCTCGATCCCAGGACCCTGGGATCATGACCCAAGCCAAAGGCAGACGCTTAACTGACTGAGCCACCCAGGCGCCCAAGGGTGATGCTTTCTTAATGCTAATCACTCACCTGCATTGGCTTTCAGGTCTTCAGGTGTTACCATAACAACAAATCGGATTGCACGTTCATTTCGAAACATCTCGTAAGACCATCGACGGATAGACCGCATGCATTTCACTGCTGCAATGCCATTGTTGGCGATAAGCACCTGGGAGAGTGAGGGGACGGGAATTGGAGAGAAAAGTACAAAAGGCAGGCAATGATCAAGGAAAAGGCAGATCTACATTTCTGTAGATCTGTTTTTCTCTGAAAAGCCAGATTTGCAATTAGGAATTTGTGTTGCTATGTCTAGGCAGTTAGGAACCAGCTCCCACATAATCAAGGGATATTTTAAAATGTTAGCTAGGCAAATACTTTAATATGTGCCAGCTAAAAGTTACTGCTTTCTATCTTCATTTCTTCAAGGGGAAAATCACAATTTTTCAAATCTTGTGAGTTGGTAAATTATTCTACCATACCTGTTACTAGGCAAACAGAAGACAAACTTCAGAGGAATGATGTATTATTAAGGAATGGGGGACGACTAAACAGTGTAATGTCACGCACTATTCCCTGTTGTATTAAACAAGGTGCAGAGTCCTGAACAGGCGTAAGAACGCTGCCACCAACCACTCTCTCTCTCCAAAATGCTGAACCCTAAATGCCTTAGAACTGTAGAGACTGCCTTACAAAGAATGGTCACAAGAAAAAGCGTGGAAGAACCAATGATCCTGAAATGTCTCTGTAAACAAATCTCTCCTGACCTATCTTGCAATCATGGCCCCAGGATAACAGAGGCTAGGAGATACACAATCTGATTATCAGATTGGACACCACTGGAGCAATACTCCTAAAGTGGGAGTATAGGTCCCCACGCTTTATTCTCTTAATCACTGCGAGCTCTTTCAGCCAAGTCGTCCTTTCAGCTCGGACATGGTTTAGATAAAAGGGGCACAGAACTACTCCTAACATTTCAAAATATTTGTAATCTCTTTAGGTACTTCATACGTTGTAGTCCCTCCAAACACCTCAAATATCTGCTGGAAGCCATTAAATTGCAGTGCATCAAACTATTCAGGCCTTCTGTTCTGAAACTCCCTCCACTCCCTTAGCTCTTGCTCCAATGTGGTGACGTATCTCTTCACCGCTACCCCATGAGTTAGTCGGTTTCTCATACCCTCTGAGTGGGGCAGCCCAACCCCATAAAACTGCAAGAGCTTTTAAAAAAGAACTTTTTGACCACCACTTCATCTTTTTAATTACCCCTGCCTAAATTATCAGTGGTATATACATAGAAAATGGTGAAATTCACAGGACTATGGAGGTAGAGAGGTTAATTCTGCAGAAAGAGGCAGTCTCTGAAAATCCAAGTATCAGTTTTGAGCAAATCTAGACAACAAGTCTAGGCATTGAACCTCATGAGATTTTGAAAAAATAATTCAGCAAGTTATAACTTACCTTCTCAATCACTTTATTCCCCCCAAAACGAGTAACAAATTCTGCTGGAGAAGCTACAGTGAAATCTCGCTGAGAGTCTATTTTCTTTCGGTCTCGACCTTGCTTTACTAGATGCAAGCCAGACATGCTGGACCTGTAAAAATAGAGAAAGCATGAAAGTCTATAGATAGGATTTTTTTCACACTGTCTATCTCCCCTGGAGATCTGCTTTTCACGACCATACTTACAACAGCATTTCCAACTGCACCCTTGTGAAGACTGCACGCTGACAGATCACATACTTTTTGAATAGAGGAGGAAAAGAGAAAAAAAAAGTCTTTGCTTGTGGAAATTTAAGAAAAAAAATTAAGTGTTCTTGAATAAGATAATATTAAGGCTTACGAAAAGATGCCATCACAAAGAGATAGGTAAAAGACAGGATGAACTGAGATGACAGAGATAATAAGAGACTGGGAAAGCTAAATAAACAGCAAGGCTGTTGTTGGATCATGATTCTGGCACACAGATGACTTTCACCTTTGTATCTCCAGCCTCCATTTTTCTTTTCTTTTTTTTTTTTTCAGTCTCCATTTTTCTTATGAAACTAAACTTTTAACTGCCTACTAAGCATTTTATTTCTGTATTCCATATGCTTTTCAAAATCAGTAACTCCAAAACCAGATACTTTACAAGGCAGCATAATAGATCGTATTTCATTGATTAGAAGACACTCCTCCTTAAAAAAAGTTAAAAAAAAAAAAAAACTTTAAAAAAATATCTGAAATTGGGAGTGCCTGGGTAGCTCAGTCGGTTAAGCCTCTGCCTTCGGCTCAGGTTATGATCCCAGGGTCCTGAGATCGAGCCTTGTGTTGGGCTGCCTGCTCAGCAGGGAGTCTGCTTCTCCCTCTCCCTTTGCCCCTCCTCCCCCACTTGTGCTCATGCTCTCTCAAATAAATAAAATCTTAAAAAAATATATCTGAAATCGATATGTATCTTACAACTGATGGTGCGCTTTAACTGGCAGAATTTTTTTTTTCCTCAGTGGTACATACAATAATGGTGCCTCTAACAATCAATGGTGTGTTAAGGATAGATGAAATACGTAGCAGAAACAGCATAGGTTTGAGTTTAATCCAGATCTGCCCACTTAATAGCTCCAATGATCTTAGCAAGTAATTTAACCTTGCTCAGCTTCAGTTTTCTCTTTGCAAAATACACATAATATACAGTGTTCTGGTTATTTACCTACTGTCTCTCGGCTCCGACCCCATCCTTTTACACTCTGCTCTGTGATGACAGAGCTAAGACTGCAAAACTGTTCAGTTCTGCCAATGGGAAGGCGGGACAGTAAGAATAGGGATTTCATTCTTGTTTTCCAGCTTTTAGCATCATTGCTCCACAGTAACAGAGAGTTAATTCTGGCCTCTAGAATCTTTCAACGTTCCTGGTGAGGCCCTCATTGCATCCCTTAGAGGTACCAGGAGCAGCAGATGATGGCTCCTTGGCAGAGTCCCAGCCTTTCCATGCTCACGCAGCCTCTGGGCTGTGCTGCCTGGGCCTATCGATCAAGGACCTGTCCGGCCAGGCTTCCATCTGCTCTAAGCACCAGCTACTCAAAGCTTCCTCTCAGAGGTGCAAGTGCTGGCCCCCAGGGGCCTTCCTTCAAGCTCCTGTGTTCTGGTAACCCTACCTCTTCCTTTTTGTTCTCCCAGCCTTAGGGGTGGTAGCTACTTCCTGCAAGTATTAATTTTTTTTTTAAGTTTTATTTATTTATTTGACAGAGAGAGCACAAGTAGGCAGAGCAGTAGATAGAGGGAGAGGGAGAAGCTGGCTTCCCGTGGAGCAGGCAGCCTGATGCGGGGCTTGATCCCACGACCCTGGGATCATGACCTGGGCCGAAGGCAGATGCTTAACGACTGAGCCACCCAGGCGCCCCTGCAAGTATTAATTTGAGGCTACTTCAGAAAACACCCAAGTCACCAGTCCTCACTATTGAATGCCCACTGTTTATAATACTTAAGGCAGTTTCTCTTTCCCTGACTGGACCTTGACTGACAGACCCTCTTTGAAAAGGTGTTTTGGGGGTTCAATGAGATAACAGCTATAACTAAGCACTTGTATACACTGTTCAGTGGACAGCTGTTTTCTTATTCCCACCTTTTCTTCCTTTCTCCTGCACTCTAACCTTGATGCTGCAGTAATTTCTTTTCAAACTATGGGAAGCCTGAGTGGCTCAGTCGGTTAAGCGTCTGCCTTCGGCTCAGGTCATGATCCCGGGGGCCTGGGATCGAGTCCCGCATTGGGCTCCTTGCTCAGTGGGGAGCCTGCTTCTCTCTTTGCCTCCTGCTCCCCCTGTTTGTGCTCACTCTCTCTCTCTCTCTGACAAATAAAATTTAAAAATCTTTTTAGGGGCGTCTGGGTGGCTCAGTCATTAAGCATCTGCCTTCGGCTCAGGTCATGATCCCAGGGTCCTGGGATCGAGCCCCACATGGGGCTCCCTGCTCAGCAGGAAGCTTGCTTCTCCCTCCCCCACTCCCCTTGCTTGTGTTCCGGCTCTCACTCTCTCTCTCTCTCTGTCAAATAAATAAAATATTTTTTAAAAATCTTTTTTAAAAAATTATTTTCAAAATAAAAGGGTATGATTAAAATCTTCCCACACACAAAAAAAACCCAGATCCAGATGGTTTTTTTTTTTTTTTTTTTTTAAAGATGTTATTATTTATTATTTATTTGACAGAGAGAGAAATAGCGAGAGCAGGAACACAAGCAGGGGGAGTGGGAGAGGGAGAAGCAGGCTTCCTGCTGAGCAGGGAGCCCGATGTGGGACTCGATCCCAGGACCCTGGGATCATGACCTGAGCCGAAGGCAGACGCTCAACGACTGAGCCACCCAGGCGCCCCAGATGGTTTTAAAAGATAAGTTTTTTCAAACTTTTAAGGGCAGTAGTCTACCAAACTTCCAGACAATAAGAAGTGAAACTCCTCAGGCGCCTGGGTGGCTCAGTTGGTTAAGCGACTGCCTTCAGCTCAGGTCATGATCCTGGAGTCCCGGAATCGAGTCCTGCATCGGGCTCCCTGCTCGGCAGGGAGTCTGCTTCTCCCTCTGACCCTCTTCCCTCTCGTGCTCTCTGTCTCTCATTCTCTCTCTCTCAAATAAATAAATAAAATCTTGAAAAAAAAAAAAGTAAAACTCCTCAGCTAGAGTAACACTGATACCAAAACCAGACAAGTATGTCACATAACAGGAAAAGTCCAGGTGCATTTTTTTCGTGACTACAAATGCAAAATTCCTAAATATAATATTCTAAATAGTAGGGTACTGGTGCAAGGATGGGTAAAATATTAGTAAAAAAACATTACTCCACGACCAAGTTGAGTTTGTCCCAGGTATGCAAGTATTGTTTAATTTTAGAAAATCCATAAATGGGGGCACCTGGGTGGCTCAGTCAGTTAAGCATCTGCCTTCAGCTCAGGTAATGATCCCAGGGTCCTGGGATCAAGCCCCACATCAGGCTCCCTGCTCAGCGGGGAGCTTGTTTCTTCCTCTCCCCTTACCCCCCTCCCTCCCGCTCATGCTCTCTCTCTCAAATAAATAAATAAAAATCTTTTTAAAAAGTACATAAAGGGGCATCGGGGTGGCTTAACTGGCCTTCATTCGGCTTGGGTCATGATCTCAGGGTCCTGGGATTAAGCCCCGCATCGGGCTCCCTGCTCAGCGGGGAGCCTGCTTTTCCCTCTCCCTCTGCCTGCAGTTCCCCCTGCTTGTGCTCTCTCAATCTCTCTCTCTCTGTGTCAAATAATAAATAAAATCTTTCAAAATAATAATAAATAAAATTTTTAAAAAATTTAGAAATCCATAAATGTAACACTGTGTGTTAGATTTCCCAGCAAGTGCAATAAAATGAAAAAAATAATAAATTAGAGGCATTAGGATTGCAAACAAGGAAGTTAAATTGTCATTATTTGTGAGTGATATAATCGTTTACAGAGAAAACACAAAAGACTCTGCAAATTATTAGAAATAGGAGACTTCAGGGCGCCTGGGTGGCTCAGTTGGTTAAGCGACTGCCTTCGGCTCAGGTCATGATCCTGGAGTCCCTGGATCGAGTCCCGCATCGGGCTCCCTGCTCGGCAGGGAGTCTGCTTCTCCCTCTGGCCCTCCCCCTCTCATGTGCTCTCTCTCATTCTCTCTCTCTCAAATAAATAAATAAAATCTTAAAAAAAAAAAAAAAGAAATAGGAGACTTCAGTCAAGTATCCAGATTAATATACAAGAACTCCAAAAATATTATATAAAGAAGACTACAGGGGTGCCTGGGTGGCTCAGTCGTTAAGCGTCTGCCTTCGGCTCAGGTCATGATCCCAGGGTCCTGGGATCGAGCCCCGTATCGGGCTCCCTGCTCGGCGGGAAGCCTGCTTCTCCCTCTCCCACTCCCCCTGCTTGTGTTCCCTCTCTTGCTGTGTCTCTCTCTGTCAAATAATAAATAAATTCTTTAAAAAAAAAAAAAAAGACTACAGATTATAAATTTAAAACATATCATAAAGTTAAAACAACTAAAATTATACACATTTTTGGAAGATACATAGAGTTACAGTAAAACTACATAAACAGGAAGATAAAAGAATATGATGAACATGTGATTAAGGAAAATGATTATCTGGGTGGAAGAATGCAGGGAGAAGCGCTGAGGAGGAGAGACCATATGGTTGGATGAGGTGATGGCCAGGGATCAACCTTTGTTTTAGGTGATGGGTTTTCAAATTCTTTTCACATTATTGTTTTAAAGACTGCAATAACTAACCAAATAAATAAATAATAGTAGGCCACAAATGGACCAATGAGTGTGCCAGGAAGGATGTTACATAATTCTATACACCTAAATTTAAACACACACACACACACACACTCCTCAGAGATCAGCTGTCAGTTATTTAAGGAAGGACTGAAGGGACAGGTAAGTTATAACTTAGAATCATTAAGGAGCTGGGGCACCTGGGTGGCTCAGTTGGTTAAGCAACTGACTCTTGATTTTAGCTCAGGTCATGATCTCAGGGTCATAAGATGGAGCCCCGTGTTGGGTTCTGCACTCAGTGGGGAATTTGCTTCAGATTCTCTCTCTCCCTCTGCTCATCCCCCACCCCCTCACTCCTGCTCT